GTTTAAATAATCCTTTTGTTATTAGTCTGTCTATGGCTACGTCCACACGACAACGCTCCTGGATTTTTTTCTTTGCGTTTTGAATAAAATTTGCATCCACACACGTGCCGGATCAGTAAATATTTACATCTAGACTACAACGGAGCGCTGAGTGAAAACGATGTAATACATATGCCACACCTGTATGTGGCGCTGTTAACAATGATAATAATATTTAATTATACAGATCTCATCACCGTTTTTTTAGACTTTAAGGTCCTTAGCCTATTTTAGATTTTGTTTTGCAAAAGTTAAACACTCATATTCCACTGAGTCCTGTCCTTTAGTCCGACAGAAGAAGCTGAACCACATCAGCGACACAATAGCGAGTGCTAGAAGCATGTCTCGGTTGCTGGGTGATGGGAGGGGCTCCGTAGGCTACATCTGTCCCGTTTTGGCAACAACGCGATGCCGGCGTTCTCAGATTTCTCCACTCTGGAACCCGTTCTCAAAAAACTCAGTTTTCGCCCACCCGAAACACCGGCTCTGTGTAGTTAAAAGGCCAAAACAAATACAAACTTCTTCATTTTGAGCAAAAAACGTTGTCGTGTAGACGGCCATACATCTGCAAAGCTCAAAATGCTCTGTTCCACCTTGTGATGTCATCTAATAGTAGGCTGGTCGAGTTAACAGCTCCTTTTAACTTTAGTTCAGTTCACACAGTGGAGCACTTCCTGTATTACCAGATGACATCACAAGGTGGAATTGAGTGTTTTCTGTTTGAGAGAAGAACTCAGCCTGCAGGATTTGTGTTTTAAACATGTGTGAATGAAACAAAACACAACTCCAGGTCTGTTTGTGATGAGGAAACAACATTATAACGCAGATCAGGAAATAGTTTAATATGCACCTTAAAGGGACAGTTTGGAATTTTGGACATAGGACCTCATTTCCTAGTGAGTCAGAGTGTTGGAGACGTGTGGAGACACTTTTTTAAATATTCCATTCAGTCCTTGTATTTGCAGAGGTCACTGGTGCTAGGCTAGTGCATGTCAATGGCCATAGTTAGTCTGCCACTAAAAACAGTCTTACTCACTCCACAAAACACCCGAAGTAAAACTATTATTACACCAGACTGTCGATGTAAATGTCAGTGTCGATAGAATAATTTTGGAAGTAAAACCAACCTTGCATTTGAAGGATTTATGTCTGAGCAGCAGCGAGTTCTACTTCCTGATAGAAAGCTTGACAGCAGCGGACTGATTTATGAGAAAATAGTCCCTCAACATGCGACGATTCATGTGATGCAAGGTTAGTTTTATTTCAAACATTATTCTATCAACACAGACATTTACACCAACAGTCTGGCGTAATAATAGATTTACTTCGGGTGTTTTGTGGAGTGGGTAAGACTGTTTTTATTGGCAGGATAACTATGACCATTGACATGCACTAGCCTAGCACCAGCGACCTCTGTAAATACAAGGACTGGATGAAATATTTTTTTAAAAAGTGTCTCCACACGTCAACACTCTGGCTCACTAGGAAATGAGGTCCTATGTCCAAAATTCCAAACTATCCCTTTAAATATTACAAAATTATGAAAATATTTATCCTCTACAGGAGTTTTTGAATTTGTAAAAGTTTTATGAGGCTGTAAATATTCTCCGACGAGCCCAGGTGTGTCTCAGGTGAGCTGTAATCTGCCTCCAGTTCTGATAATATGAAACTGTAAAAATGAATTTGTGTGTGATAAAATGTCTGAGGCAAAGCTGAGCTGATAACAGGGAGAGAAAGAACCTGAAATCATCGTCTCTTCGGTCTCACGGAGGTATGGATAAGGATGGACTTTTACTTTCACTATGGAGGTGAAGGTCTGGGGTTCAATTCCCAATCTGAAGCCAGACTTTAGGAAGGTACCAAGGCTCAGAGCAGGAGAAATTATGAAATAAAAAATGTTTGTTACATTCATAAAGTAAAGAAAGTGTTTTATTTAGATGAGTTTTCTCAACAAGTTTAATAATTCAGGGTTCAGTCAGACAGAACTAAACCAGGTCTAAAACAGGACGAAACAAGAACTTAACCAGGTCTAAACCAGGTCTAAACCAGGACTAAACCAGGACTAAACCAGGACTAAACAGGTCTAAACCAGGTCTAAACCAGGACTAAACAAGACTAAACCAGGTCTAAACCAGGACTAAACCAAACTAAACCAGGTCTAAACCAGGACTAAACCAGGTCTAACCAGGACTAAACAGACTAAACCAGGTCTAAAACAGGACTAAACAGAAACCAGGTCTAAACCAGGTCTAAACCAGGACTAAACCAGGACTAAACCAGGTCTAAACCAGGATTAAACCAAAACTTAACCAGGACTAAACCAGGTCTAAACCAGGTCTAAACCAGGTCTAAACCAGGACTAAACAAGAACTAAACCAGGTCTAAACCAGGATTAAACCAAAACTTAACCAAGGTCTAAACCAGGACTAAACCAGGATTAAACCAGGTCTAAACCAGGACTAAACAAGAACTAAACCAGGTCTAAACCAGGATTAAACTAAAACTTAACCAAGGTCTAAACCAGGACTAAACCAGGACTAAACCAGGTCTAAACAAGAACTTAACCAGGTCTAAACCAGATCTTAACCAAGACTAAACCAGGTCTAAACCAGGACTAAACCAGGACTAAACCAGGTCTAAATCAGGATTAAACCAAAACTTAACCAGGTCTAAACCAGGTCTTAACCAGGACTAAACCAGGTGTAAACCAGGACTAAACCAGAGCTAAACCAGAGCTAAACCAGGTCTAAACTAAACCAGGTCCAAACCAAGTCTAAACTAGGTGAAATTCAGGTCTAAACCAAGACAAACCATGTCCTAGCCATGTCTTAACCAGGACTAAATCAGGACTAATCCAGGTCTAACCCAGGTCCATAAGAGTCAACCAGGACCATACCAAGACTAAACCAGGACTAAACCAGGACTAAACCAGCTGTAAATCCAAATAAAGACACGGGGTTCGGCGGGTCCATGTTGGATGAGACTTTAGTGAAAACTGAAAAAGGCAGAATGGTACAATACATTTAAAACAGCAAAAAACAGCTCAAAGAGTCAAAATTCAAATGAAGGCATGTCGGGCCCGGACCCTGGACCAATGAGACGCATGGACTCAGGACTGTGGCCAATCACAGGGGACTTTGGGCTAAAACCGGACCAAGATCCAAAACAAATCAGACACAAGAATGAAAAAAAAAAAAGAATGATCTATATTTAAGCCACATAAAAATCAAAAATAGGAAACTGAATTAGTTTTTTTTCCATTTTGAATCTTTTAAAATTAATTTCTATCACAGTGTACGTTCGTTTTATTTCCGAAAAGAAACTAATTTTAGCCCAAAGCTCCACGAAGATCAGCCTTTTCCTGAAATAAGACACATAGCGAGCGGTGCTTCTCAAATGAACCACTTTGAACAATTAAAAAATACATAATTCCAAAAAAAGCAGCAAGAACGTGAAAAAAGAAACAAATAAAAAAAAAAAAAAAAAAAATTAAAGTGATTTTGTTTGAGAATCGCCGCTCCGTTTCCTAATATTCAGAACAGTAATATAATATGGTACAGTAAAGACAGTGGACTTCTTTCAAACGCACTGGAGCCCCGTGGTCGGCTGCTACCGTCTGATTGGCTGATAACTTACAGAGCCGTTTCCAGTGCAACAAAATACGTAAAACTGTCAATAAATAAACGCATAAATAAAATAAAACAAATCAAATAAATATCTGAGAGGTTCAGGTCAAAGCTGAAGGAGTCTGACGCCGGCGACACCACAAAGATTATGAATTACACGATTTTTTTTTTTACATTTTCAACGTATGAAATTGCTTTTAAATCGTACTTAAATTATGGCATTTCAGGAACTGATCAGTAAAGAATAATTCAAGATAATTATTTGTTTTAGTATGGATTTCATGTGGATCATAATATTATGTTAAGATGACATAAAGTTGTCTTTTTAGAGTAATTAGAGAATTAAATGGAAATAGAAAGGCTGATCTGAACTGAATAAAAACTGAATCCAGGACTGGCACAACGCAAGTCTAAACCAGGTCTAAACCAGGTCCAAACCAGGACTAAACAAGGTCCAAGTCAGGTCTAAACCAGGTCTAAACAAGGTCCAAGTCAGGTCTAAACAGTCTAAACCAGGTCTAAACCAGGTAAACCAGGACTAAACAAGGTCCAAGTCAGTCTAAACCAGGTCTAAACCACCAGGTAACCAGGACTAAACAAGGTCCAAGGTCCAAGTCAGGTCTAAACCAGGTCTAAACCAGGTCCAAACCAGGACTAAACAAGGTCCAAGTCAGGTCTAAAGTCAAGTCTAAACAAGTCAGGTCTAAACCAGGTCTAAACCAGGTCTAAACCAGGTCTAAACCAGGTCTAAACAAGGTCCAAGTCAGGTCTAAACCAGGACTAAACCAGGTCCAAACCAGGACTAAACAAGGTCCAAGTCAGGTCTAAACCAGTCTAAACCAGGTCTAAACAAGGTCCAAGTCAGGTCTAAACCAGGACTAAACCAGGACTATACAAGGTGTAAATCAGGTCTAAACCCGGACTAAACTAGGACTAAACCAGATCTACATCAGGCCTAATCCAGGTCCAAACCATGTCTACACTAGGTCTAAACAACCCTAAACCAGGACAGAACCAAGTCTAAACCAGCACAATACCACATCTAATCCAAGTCCTAAACCAAGTCCTAAACCAAGTCCTAAACCAGGACTATGCCAAGTCTAAACCAGGTCTAAACCAGGTCTAAACCAGGTCTACGCCAAGTCTAAACCAGGTCTAAACCAGGTCTAAACCAAGTCCTAAAGCAAGTCTAAACCAGCACAATACCAAGTCTAAACCAGGTCTAAACCAAGTCTACGTCAAGTCTAAACCAAGTCTAAACCAGGTCTAAACCAGGTCTACACCAGGTCCTACAGAACCAGGTCTAAACCAGGTCCACACCAAGTTTAAGCCAGCACAACACTAGGTCTAAACCCGGTCTAAACCCAGTCTAAAACTGTACTAAACCTAGAGTACATCAGGTCTAAACCCGGTCTAAACCCGGTCTGGTATGGGTCTTATGTAACCCTATACAGTGTTCATCTGTATTCTGAGTCAGAGTCTGAGGTCTGCTCTGTTTCTCTGTAGAATACAAATATAAACCTCCGAACACACAGACCATAAAACACAACGAGCTCTTCACCATCAGCCAGAACAATACGACCACCGGATTGTAAACCTGCCACTACGAGACCAAGACTCAGACTAAAACCAGACCGCCTCCTAAAACCGTACTTTAATATTTAACCGAAGCAGAGACCAGAGCCGAGTTTGAGCGTCCATTATTCAGATTCACGATGAGCCGAGGAAGGAAACAGCATCTCAAAGCGGAGCGTACTTTTACATTAACTCTGTTTTAAATTCAGTTCAGACACACTTTTGTCTACGATAGTCTGACCTTCAGTCCTGACGATTTCTTGCTGTAATTCTCACATTCCTCACATGAGCAAACCCAGAACAAATGAGGAAAAAAATAAACCACAAATCACGAAAAAAGGTGCGTTGTACGACGGACGTTCAGATATACTAAATAATTCTGATTAAATTATTGCTATAACCTGATTAAAAATGAGTTCGACCCAACCACAAGTTCCTCATTTTCCAAATTCTGTTACTTATGCTGACATGTTTTTATTGCTTTACATTATTTAATCTTCTCTATGTGCAAACAGTGATCAAATATTAACCAGGATCCATCCAAAAGGTCATATCTAATGTCTTAATTTTACGTGAAAATAAAAAAATAAATAAATACAGATGAGTTCGAGTTGAGGCGACGGCGCAGTGCTGGTCCAGACTCCTTCAGCTCTAGTGGTTTTAATCAGGGGCTACTTTCCCTGTTTTTATTTTGTTACATCAGAACCCTTGATTTTTAAGTAACATTGATTGAAATGAAAGAGTTTGATTGAAATTACCAAACGACAGCGAAATGAAAATGAAAATTTGATGTTGCCGTAAAAAGAGAACCACCGAACGAAAGCGAGGCAGAAGATTTTCAAATTACCGAATTAAATCAGGAGTAAACCAGAAGCAACGCAGGTGGAAATGAGACGTAAATCTAAAGCCGGGCTACAAAGAAACCAAATTCATAGACAAACAGTTCATAATTTCAAAATAATTTAATGTATAAAAATCCACAAAGGACTTAAGTTAAAGGTCCCATCTTGCGTGAATTTGACTTTTGTGAGATTTAAACCATGTTATAATGTTGTTACCTCGTCAAAAACAGATCTGGAGTTGTGTTTTGTTTCATTCACACATGTTTAATTAATCCTTTTTATTAGGTTGTCTGCAGTCGTGCAGTGGGGATTTTTTTAAAGTGCGGGAACACGAACTTAAATGTCAAACCAGGAGCTGCTGGCAACAGTGAAAACAAAAAACAACCTGCACAGGCTCATGAGATCTGCAGGACTGTCCTATAGTGACCTGAGACATGAGGGACCAGGACTGATCCCAGGACTGAACCAGGAGGATTACACTAGGTCTAAACCAGGACTAAACCAGGTCTGAACCAGGTCTGAACCAGGTCTGAACCAGGTCTGAACCAGGTCTAAAGCAGGACTAAAGCAGGACTAAGCTAGGTCTAAAATGGGTCTAAACCAGGACTAAACCAGGTCTAAACCAGGTCTGAACCAGGTGTGAACTAGGTCTAAAGCAGGTCTAAACCAAAACTGAACCAGAACTAAACCAGGACTAAACCAGGTCTAAACTAGAACTGAACGAGGACTGAACCAGGACTGAGTGTTGGGATGGGCCCGTGTAGACCGTCGGGTGATCGCAGGAGAAAGGACTGATGCAGAACTCTGTAACCAACAGGGCTAAGCACAACCGTCGCCCGATCGCATTTTGCAGACACCCTGCTCCACAGGCTCGGAGTTTCTCGCTCTCAAGTCCTGGTTTAGTCCTGGTTCAGTCCTGGTCCCTCAGGTCACTACAGGACAGTACTGCAGATATCATGAGCCTATGCAGTTTGTTTTCATCATTGTCAACAGCTCTGGTTTGACTGATTTAAGTTGTAGCCATTTTATATTTGTTATTTTTTTATATACACCCCTGGTTTTCTACATGTTCAAAGCTCAAAATGCTCTGTTCCACCTTATGATGTCATATAGTGGTAATTTTCAAGTTAACAGCTCCTTTTTACCTTTAGTTCAGTAGAAATTGACAATTCCAAGCCTGAAATTATCCAAGTGATTCTAGTGACTGTGTGTGGAGTATAAAAACACAATGGAGCACTTCCTGTATTTGAGAGATGAACTTGTGTATGCATCAACACGTTTCAATGAAGCAAACCACAACTCCAGGCATGTTTTAGACGAGGAATCAACATTATAACAGATCAGAAAATATCATAACACGGGCGCTTTAAATGATTCCTTTATCAGTAGTTGAAGTGAAAATATTCTGCCTCCACGTGGTACAGTTGTCATTTTGGTCACTTTTCAACACGTTTTGAGCCCACTTCAGACTGTTGTAAACTTGTCTTGGCCTTATTTAGTGTGAAAAAGCTTTGAACAAAATGGCCTCTCTGCACAAATAACACTTAGAATTTGAATCGCTCCCAGACACCACCGTCCAAGTTCAGCCATCCGTCATAATGTTGCTTCTGTTTGGCAAAAATCCATGACCTTTTTCTCATAAAAGTTGAGTGGTTCTCCTTTCTCCAACAAATGGGATGAAGATGTAGCTTTGTACAAGTCCCGTAAAATCTTTCAAATCCACAACATTTTATTACGATAAATTGCATTTTTTTGTTATTTTTTCCATACATTATTATTATTATCTTTCATTTTTTCAAAGTCTCTTTTACAATTATGGCCACAGTCTGTCAAATCCAGGGATTTTTATAAGTGAAATCCTGGAAATATTTTGGTCCAGAAAGATCCGGTTCAGATCCGGATGTTTGTACATGGCACTAGTCTTGTTGTAGCTTTGCACAGTATTGGATTTTCTTCACTTTTGTCCTTCCTGGGCACCTGTAGCCTCATGGCTGTTTATTCAGTCCCATGTTAAAGCCATTTTCACCAAAAACAAAAACTAAGAGCTTTGTGAACGGTGCCAGAAAAAAGTCCAGAATTCTTGCAAAAAAAAAATGAAAAGTTTGAAAAATTGAGGATATTTCTCTGGTATTATTTACAGATCTGAGTGTCAGTGTGCCTCTGCTGGAATGTATTTTAAAAACTAGCTTAAACGATTTTTTAAAATTCATTTTCCGCGTTTTTTACTCGCGAAGTTTCCACAGTCTCGATTGGTCGGGCAGTACGTTACTTAAGATTCTATTGGCCAAAAGCTCAGGCCAAGTGTGACGCATGGGTATTCAAAATACTAAAGGCAATGAGAAGTTTAGAAAATGGCTCAAATTTTAGAAAATGTAGAAAGAAATTTTAAAGAGAGCACCAACAAGGATTCATTTACTACAGAAGTCATTAATATTGTTTGAGATATGTAAACAGAAGTGAATCTAAAATAAAGCAACTTCGAATAGAATCTGGGACTAGAGCTCAGTCTATTGAAAGTTCTCCAAAAATTACTGCAATATATTCTCTATTTCTATTGTATTTTGTTCATTTTAGACATGTCCGTTTACTTTTATTGACATAATTATTCTATTATTATCTTCTATTATCACTGGTGCAAAACTAAAACTATAATGTCGGGCGATGTTCTTGGATCTGCTCAAAGTTTTTCTCATACATTCAATCGATTAATCCCTGTTGGTGCAAAAAAATCTAAAGTGACATTTTAAAAACTAATAAAATAAATAAAATGATTTTAGTAGAAACCATAGTCGCTTTGATAAAATGGACACAGGAACAGGTCGGTTTAGGCATCGGGCTCAGTGTGCTGTGGCTGTGATTGTCCAGAGAAAAAAAGTGGCTCTCAAAAAACAGCAAAAACTCCTCCTCCTCCTCTGTTAAACTGAAACTGTCTCCGGTTGAGTCTAAGTTTGTGTTTCAACATCTGTAAGAAACTTTCTGTGGGTTTAAGCTTCTGGAGTAGCAACAGAGACAAGAGCGGGACAATCAGTGGAGTCAAGTTTAACGATAATTTCAGAAGGTTAGGAGTAAAGGCAAAACAAAACCCTGGAAAATCTAAAAATGTATCGATGAGAACGGTGAAATTCAGTGTCAAATCTTTCACGACGTAACTCAAGTCTCTTTCTCGATTTGTGTGTTGCTACTACAGACTTTCACCGTCACAGAAGGTTGGTCCTTACAAATGTGAAGAGTACCGATTAAAATAATTTCACTCGACCTTGTATCGTTTCAAACTCCAAACCAAAGCTGTTGATCCTGAGGTGAGCTCCTCAAATGCATTTCTGTAGATTCCTGATGTATTTTCGTTCCAGTTTTAGATTGAGATCCAAATCCCGTTTGTGTGGATCCCGGCGTGACATCTGGAGTAATTCAAACCTGAACCCAGGTTTAAAATGAAGTAAATTCCACTTCAAAGTCTGAAGTTTCTTCAAAGTCGTGTTTGAACCCAAATACCACCAAAGGAGGTAGAGGGTCCAGCTGACCACGACAAGCAGCCAAACCAGAGGGAATAAATAATGAAGGTCTGGCTGAGCAGTGGTCAGATGCAGTTCAGAAAAGCTCCTGGAGGGGGGGCTGAAGGGGGGGTCCCTGTGAGTCCGAGGGCTCTCAGTTCATGACGCTCTCTCTTTCTCTCAGCTGCTCCCTGACATCAGGTTAATGGCTTGCTCCAGTTTGTGCCTCAGTTTGTGTTTGCGACAGTATCCGTCTCTGTCCAACGCCGTCAAGATCTGAACAGACAAAGATCACAGGAATGTAACTAAAGTACTGCACTTAAGTAAAATATAGATATATAAAATGTATACTTAGGTACATTTTAAAGTGGATACTTTTTATTTTTACTTTACTACATTTAAGAGCAGTTATCTGTACTCTCTACATTGGACTGAAATGTAAAAGTATTTTTATGAGTGTTTGAGACCTGCTGAAAAGGATGAGGGTTTAATTTTAAACACATTTGTAGTGTGAGCAAAAAATAAAATGAAAACAACAACAACAGGAACAGTTGAGTCAGTTGTTTCTGTTGAACAAAATTCAGCAGAAATCTACATTTAAAGCTTCTCAAAATCTGTACACAATACTTTTACTTTTTGCTCTTTAAGTACATTTTTAACAGGTACTTTAATACTTTCCCTTATGTAGTGTTTTCATGTAATACTTGAATATACTTGAATATTTATTTTGTTCTGGTATCTGCACTTTTACTTAACAGAACTGAGTACTACTTCTACCACTGGTCCATCCTCACTGCATGTACTTCCGGTCTCATACTCACCTCTTCCTTGTACTTGTTTATGTAGAAGTAGAGCTCACTGAGCGCGCTCAGAGTGTTGAACTCGTTGCCGTGGAGACGGGACTGTTCCACCAGATAGGCGTCCATGTCCTGGTCTGAAATACTGGGCATCTTTGCTATGTCCCGGTAATACCTAAACACAGGAACGTTGGTCATTACAGTGAGAGAGGAGTTTGTACTGGAGACAGATGATGGTTCAGCAAAAACAGATTCATCTGACTGTTTTATTTACCCTGTATCTAGTACCTGCCTCACCGGCCACAACACGAAGGAGAGACAGAGTAAAAATGTGTTCAAAATGAGATCTAAGAACATTTGAAGTTGTCCTCCTTCACTGACAAGGTTAAAACACCCTATATTACGCAAAGCTGACTCTTGTGCACTTTTAGTCATATTATAATGTTAATATCTCCACAAAAACATGGAGTTGAGTTTTATTTCATTCACATGTTTGAGTAAACCTTTATTTGTAGTCTGACTACAAGTTAACAGCTTTACCTTTACTTTTAGTTCAGTAGAGATCGGCAAAGGTGGAACAAAGTGTTTTCCATTTGAGAGGAGAATTCAGCCTAAATATGCAGGATTTGTGTGTTAAATGTGTGAATGAAACAAAACAACTCCAGGCATGTTTGTGATGAGAAAATGATATAACAAATATGGGCCCTTTAAGTGTGATAACAGTAGAAGTAGTAGTAGTAGTAGTATTACCTCTCGACCCAGTTCTTGTAGTTGGGGATGTCTTTAGCGTACAGCAGTTTGTTGGAGGGTGAGTCTTTGCCGAGTCGATGTTCTGAGGTGGAGCAGGAGTCCATGAAGGTCTGGGCCACCACAGACAGGCAGGCGTCTGTGATGCTGCTCTTGTGGATGTCAAAGACGAACTGAGGGTTTTTGATCACGTTAACCCAGAACCGGAGAGGCAGGCTGCAGGGAAGAGAAAGGAGGAGACAAAGGGGAGAGAGGAGAAAGAGAAGGAGAAAGAAGAGGAGAGATGGTCATTGAAAAGTAAAAAAAAAAAGAACAAAAAAGTGATTCTTTGACACTTTGCAGTCACATCATGCTGAGGGGCTTCAGCTGTTCAAACACTGCCTGGTAAGTTTTTAGATTGTCTGAAAAAACACCAAAATGATTTATATAAAACATTTTCAGGAGCTTCGAATCAATATGAGCATTCATGGTCCTGTTTGATGTTCAACAAAAAAGGTGAGTGTGACTGAAAAACTGTTGATAATGCTCGCTAGTTTATCACTGTAATTTGAGAGAGACTTATTTAACTGTAGGGCTGGGTATCATTCAGAAGTTGCTGATACGATACATACCTCAATACACAGGCCATGATACGACACATATCTCGATACAGTGAGCTTTCAATTTGATACAATTCAATACAATACAATAAAAAACAAAGGCTAAATCATGGTTGTGATACTAAAAGTCTTTGTTAAACCACTTCTTGTGCAAAGTTCATATGAAACACAAACATTTTAATCATCAAAATAGTGAAAATGTCAAATGTGCTGCATGAACGAGCTTCCTTCCTCTGGAAAAGCAGCAAAACTGTAGCACTGTAACAAAACAATGTAACGTAATTTTTGGATTATAACGCGCACTTAAAATCCTCTAATTTTCTCAAAAATCGACAGTGCGCCTTATGTATTAATTCTGGTTGTGCTTACTGACATTGAACTGGTTTTATGTGGTACTACAAAGCCGCACTACTTGATGGATTGTCGGAGCATTATGGCTACTGTAGTCAGAAGCCTTGTGGAGTAAAACACATTCAACAAGACAGGGAGGCAACGCCGGGCGAGTTACGCCCAATCTGCCAATGGATCGTGAAGCCCTGGGCAAAGGTCTTAGTCTTGAGTGTCATCTGTTTGTTTCGCTTAATGTACCTTGTAATCCGATGCACCTTATGTATGAAAATAGACGAGAGAATTCAACATTACTGATATTGTGCCTTATAATCGTTAAAATAAATATACGGTAGTAAAATGCCAAAAAATACTCTCTTCATCACATTAAACGATATATAGATATTTCAATATTTTTTCACACACCTATTTAACAGCACAAATCAAACAAATCAAATCAAACTCCTTTTGTAGTTTCAGCTCTTCATGGTCAGACTGTGTTAAAGCAAAGCTCAGATTAAAGTCTAATTTCAGTAACAGAGCTTCAGACAGAGCAGTGCCTTAAATTAGCATCACACCCCCAGGTAACGCTGATGACACCAGCTCAAAGATATCAACACGACCTTCTTTGCACATGATTGGAGAGATGATTTTAACAGAGGTATAGATCACATTTGGACATATTTCGTGTCTTGTCTCACCAGTTGCTCTTCCAGGTGTGCCGTACGTCGGGGTCTGTGATTTGCCGTTTGTCCGCCTGCTCGTCTAAGAAGTCAAACATGTATTTGATGGCGAGGGGCAGCGCTGACCCTCGGTGCGCCGTACTGAACACCGTCTCAAACAGATCGTCCACAAACTTCTGCAGCGTCCCCTAGAGGAGAAAAAGAAAACAACAAGACACGAGTCAGACCAGTAAAAGAAGAAATGCAGGATATTCAAATAATAAAAATCTATTGACTAATTGATGATTTCAATAGAGTAATGATTGTACCTTTGTAGCCAGTAGTCTCGTGAGGTAAATCTCGGACACCATCTTGCTGCCCCGGTCTCCTTCTCTCTGGTCAGTGTGTTCATGGTTCTTCACCAGATGCCACAGTTTTGTACCTAAAGAAATTCATAAACTCCTTAAAAATGGGAGTATTACACTTCTGTGCAACATATTAATTTTGTTTTTGACATTATGAGTCTCCCCTCTGCCCTTGCTCCTGGTATTAAGTCACTTTCCTTTCAGAGTTTCATCATAACTAGGGTGACCAGACTTCCCTATTTACCCAGGACAGTCCCAGTTTTGAGCCCTGTGTCTCCTGTCCCAGCAGATTTATCTAAAACCAGTGATTTGTCCCAGTTTTATACAAGAAATGTCCCAGGCAGAGGTGGGACCAAGTCATTGTTTTGCAAGTCTCAACTAAGTCTCAAGTCTCTGACCTCAAGTCCAAGTCAAGCCTCAGGTCCATAAGTCCAAGTCAAGTCCAAATCATCTGCTTTGAGCCTCAAATAATTTTAAGTTTTTAAACCAAAGTACCAAATACAGCTTTGGTTTTTGCAATTAATATGAATTTTAAACTAAATAGTACTTAAAAAGTCATGGTATATTTATTTATGAGTATTTATATAAGAGTTGTAGAAATGCTATTTTTTCCTTCTCTAGTCTTCTCAAGTCACAGGGCTCAAATCCAAGTCAAGTCCCAAGTCATTGAGCTTCAAGTCCAAATCGATTCTCAAGTCTTCATCCATTTTATCAAGTCAAGTCTCAAGTCCTAAAAATATTGACAAGTCTGACTCGAGTTCAAGTCACAACTTGCAAGTCCCCAACTCTAGTCCCAGGTGTCCCTATTTTTAAACAATTTGATCTAAACCAGGTCTAAACCAGGACTAAACTAAGACTAAACCAGGACTAAAACAGTACTATCACAATATTTGACTAATCAGATCTTCTCCAGCAGTAAAGAGGAGCATAAATTATCATTCGTTTAGCCAAAATACATGGGCCTGTGCTTGCAAATGACAATATATTTTTTTTAAAAAAGTGGCCTCATAAGTCCCTCAGAATATGACTGATGTGAGAATCCGCAATGTTACATGCTCTTTTCACAATTTTATTTATACCAACCATCCCAACCCAGGAGTGTCCCAGTTTTGAATTTAGAAACTTTGGTCACTCTAATCCTAACACAATCACAAACTACTGCACATCGCTTCAGGTTTGTGAAGTTGTAGTGTATTGTTTTGTATCCTGCTTTTGTATATTTATGGAGAATTGTCGTGTGGAAGTGGGGATGTCAGGCTTGTGGGATGAGCACTGGACAGACTAACAGGGTTCTGGAGAGATCACTAGATTACTTAAGTATTCATCGACGACATCTAAAACCTCGTCAGGCATGTTTTTGATGAGGGAACAACATTGTAATATGGTAGAAAGCTCCAAAGTTGATTTAGCATAATAGTCCCATGTTTTCTTTATAATTTAAGCCCCTAAAAACCGTTGTCACCTCTGCTAGTCACATCTTCACTTTTTTGTATAGCTGTAATAAAAAATTAAAATTATCTACATGTACAGTGTGAGAATATGTCATTCGTAGTGGTCAAAGCTTTCGGTGCAGAACGGCCCAGACTGGCTCCCCATCCCCAGAGGGAGTGAATGAAAAATGCAATGTTAAGTGACTTTGAGTGTCTGAAGAAAAAAACACCATCTCTAAGCCCAATGCATTATTCAGTACTATTATTTATTCATCTACTGTAAAAATGCAAATATGACGTACCCGTTTCCTGGTCTGGTGTGATCATAGGAGCTCTGGATCTGAGGCTGTCTGGACTGCTCGACGTCCGCAACAGTGACTCTGAAGAAAAAGACAAAAATAGAGGAGAGAAAATGAAAAAATGTTTAGGCGGTGCAGCTGTATTGTTGTTTGGTTGGGCTGAGAAATCTACAGAAGGTTATGAGGAGTGGTAAAAGAGCACTGTTGGGCAAGTTACTTCAAAACTGTAATGTGTTATTTATTACTTGTTACTGTCATTTCAAAGTTATTTGTTACTTTACAATATTACTGCATTTAAAATATAAGGCATCACACGACTATTGTATTACATTTAAGTCTCTCACCAAAATAACTGTCGCTGATTGTCAAATAACCATCAGAGAGCGAAGATGCCGAACTTTTGCGTCGTATATGGACTGAACTAAGACCTGAACCAGGACTAAACCAGGATTAAACCAGGATTAAACCAGGACTGAATCAGAGCTGAATAAGGACTAAACCAGGACTAAATCAGGTCTAAACCAGGACTAAACCAGGACTGAACCAGGTCTAAACCAGGACTAAACCAGGACTAAACCAGGACTAAACCAGGACTAAACCAGGACCAAACCAGGACCAAACCAGGACTAATCTTGGTCTAGGACTTGAAATCTAGGGAAACCCCTGAGAGAACCCCAAGCCCGTGGAGCATAGTGTCCACAAAGCGCAACTGGGCGTCAGCCTCGATTAGCCCTGGGGAGCGAACTGTAACTTTGGCATTTCACCGCTGCTGATATCGCAGTGATTTTAGCGAATTTGTATGAAGAAAGAAGTGGTAGTAGCAGCAGTAGCAGTAGTAGTAGTAGCAGTAGTAGTAGTAGCGTAACGTAGCAGTGTAGTAGCAGTAGTAGTAGTAGCAGTAGTAGGCAGTAGCAGTAGTAGCAGTAGTAGCAGTAGTAGTAGTGTAGTAGTTAGCAGTAGTAGCAGTAGTAGAGCAGTAGTAGTAGTAGTAGTAGTAGTAGCAGCAGTAGCGTAGTAGTAGTTAGTAGTAGCAGTAGAAGTAGTAGTAGTAGTAGTAGCGTAGCAGTAGTAGTAGCAGTAGTAGTAGTAGAGTAGTAGCAGTAGTAGCAGTAGTAGCAGTAGTAGTAGCAGTAGTAGCAGTAGTAGTAGTAGCAGTAGTAGTAGTAGTAGTAGTAGTAGTAGCAGTGCAGTAGTAGTAGTAGCAGTAGTAGTAGTAGTAGTAGCAGTAGTAGTAGTAGTAGTAGTAGTAGGCAGTAGCAGTAGTAGTAGTAGTAGTAGTAGTAGCAGTAGCAGTGGCAGTAAAAGTAGTAGCAGGGGTAGTAGTAGTAGCAGTAGCAATAGTAGTAGTAATAACAGTAGTAGTAACAGTAGTAAGAACGGGAATAGTAATACAAGTAGGAGTCGTAGTAGTAGTAGTAGTAGTAGTAGTAGTGTATTTGTACCATATCGGCTGAGGGATCTGGTGAAGGTGAAGGAGTTGGCGATGTTGTAGGCAGAGACCTGTTTCTGAACTAAAGCCACCAGAGAACCGTCCGTCACCTTGAAAAATACACAAGAATTTTCCCTTAAATCGCAGGAAAAACATGTTTCATTGCCAAAAATACTTCATCATGACCCCCCACTCTCATTGATTACTATCGCTGTACTGCAAAATCATGTTTTACCTGGTAGTGTGCTAGAGTGTTGAGTCTCTTCCAGTCACTCTCGATTTTAGTTGTAACATCTTCGTCCTGAAGAATGATCCTGGTCAGACGGCCCTGGCGCCACTCTGAAATCACATTATTTTTTATGATTATACGTAACTGGGGTCAGTCACATCTACTACAGGTCTGAAGGGGGCATAGACTGATTTAAAATGGCAGCGTGTGGGCTCCGGTTAAAGGGCCAGTATTGCGCTATTTTCCAATCTACTGTATGTTATAATGTTGTTTCCTCATCACAAACATACCCGGAGTTGTGTTTTGTCTGTTTCACACCATATTTAACACACAAACCCTGCATACTTTAATATTTAGTTCTTCTCTCAAACAGAAAACACTCCACCTTGTGATTTCATATAGTATCAGGGGCAGAGTTAGCAATTTGGGGGCCCTAGGCGAACTTGAGTTTGGGGCCCTCACTGTAATCCATGTTTTGTTTTGTTTTGAATATATTTAATTGTCTGTTTTTCTCCATTGTTCTTAAGACATGCACATCTCTATTTATTTGAATTATGGTGAATTGGAAACTTGTCTTATTAGTTCGGTCGCCAACTAGATAATCAGAGCTGAAAGCAGTTTTATTTTTTTGCTAGTACAATTACATTTTTGTTTACATCCTTTACATATGATTATTATTATTTTTCTTATGATAATTGTTTAAAAGTAAACTTACTCTCACTAAATGTCATATTGAGACTACGTTTACACTGAAACAAATCCGCGTATCACTATATCACCGTATCGGAAACGATCTGCGTCCAGACACGTCGTTTCTGTGTCCGCAAGCCTTCCCTATCCACAACTTTGAGCATATTTGTTTATGTTTTACAGAAACGAAACTTAAAACCACATGTCTAATAAGCATAAACTAAGAGCTAAAAAAAAACAGCTCGCTATTGTGCGCTGATGCGGTTCAGCTTCTGTCAGACTAAAGGACATGACTCAGTGGATTATGAGTGTTCTTTCTGTGACAGAGGGGTGTTCTGCTGATGGTGAGTCTGTTCTGTGTTTCTATCGCGTTGGAGATGTTAAACATTTCAGAGATTATACGTCTGCAGGTCATACGCATAGACCACATTTATGAATGGACATATATCTAAGCCTCTTAGCGTTTTGGCAGTGAATTACTTTGCAGCGCGTCGACCTACATCAGCGTATCCACGTTTTCAGGCATCCACACAGTGCTGGATCAGATCTGTACTCAAATGAATTTGAGAGAACTGGCAGCACCAGATCGCTCCACCTCTAGAGCCGTTTTCAATTGGATTAGTGTGAACGAACACTGCATCCACAACGACAATGACTCGAATACGTACTAGTGTGGATGGGGCCTGCTGAGAGAAAATCTAATCGCTCTGAGGGCAATTGGTTGGGAGCCCCGAGCAGCCGCCTCCATTTGCCTAATTGTAGCGCCGCCTCTGTATAGTATATTGTGTTTTTAAACTCCATACACCTTCACTAGAATCATTTAGATCATTTCAGCCCTGGAATTGCCGATCTCTACTGAACTAAAGGTAGATGTTAATTTGAAAACTACCGCTTCATGACATCACAAGGTTGAACAGAGCATTTTGAGCTTTGAAGATGTAAACAGCCAAATAATAAAGGATTACTCAAACACTCTGGGTATGTTTTTGATGACGTAACAACATTATAACATGATTTAAAGCTTGCAATACTCAATTTAGCGTAATATAGGACCTTTAATATTATGATGTTACAGTAAGTAATAGCACTATATATCTTACCCAGATCCATATCGTCTGCCTGTGGTCTCTGGGAGAAGGGGATTCCTTTGTAAACAGTGTCCAGGAGTTTGTCTTTGACCTGAGTGATGGTGTCACAGTTCAGCACCTTCACTGGGATCTCAGTACCAGCCTCGCCCTCCGGAGGGATGCACATCAGGGTCTGGAAATTCACAAGATTACACAGGCTATTATAATGTGTATACAAAGAAGTGTCGTGCACAGAATCTGAAGAAGCGAATATATATTTGTATAAATGACAATAAAAAGGAGGAAGCACAGGCAGAGTCACATTGAGGTTGTGATTTAGTCCAAGCTTAGTTCAAATTTTAATGGTCTGTGTAAAAGCGTGAAAGAAACCTTAAAGAAAACAGATTGTGCTCGTGTCTGCTACATAGTTATAATCTACGACACGCCTGGATCATTATGTTATGCGCATTTAAATCGCAGTATTCATCTAAAACCACTTGATAAAAGAAACAAGTCTGCCAACTTCAGCGTAAAAAAACTGCAGTGCCCAGTGGGAGCTGACGTCACGGTAAACATCATCACAACAAAAAGCTGGCATCTCCTGTGGAAAGCTGCACGTCACATTAGCGAGCAGCTGATTCTTTTTTTTTCCATTTGCACCAAAATGACGCAGCTCTGCCAAGTCCTACACGTATCATTGATCAAGAAAATAAAATTGGAGAACAAAGTACGGAGCAGTTGGTGTATGCAGGTGGTGGAGAAATAAAGATTACTCAAACATGTACGAATCACTCCAAAAACAACTTCGAGAGGGTAAATGAAAAGGGGAAACGAACATGGTTAAAAGCTTTGAAAAGTCGATTTTTCAGCTTTTCAACAAATGCTTTGGTCAAAATCTTTTGGAAGCTATGCAAAGCGTTTAGATATTTTGTAATGTGATTGTGTCCCTCGCTCAGATGAGTCAGTAGCCCGTATTCCTGCATCAAATATATGGCAAAGGAAATAAGCTTATCTCCAAAATTACTTTACTGGCAACACAAGGTTTGTTTTACCCATAAACTGTATAAAAAAAAAAAAAGGACTACGGGAGTGCAGCATCTCTCATAGAGTTCGGCTCCAGCAGGGTTCCCACTCTTTTTCAATGACAAAACTTTAAAACTTTTCCATGACTTTTTCATGACCTAGAGTGAATTTTCCATGACTTTACGGCACCTAAACGTGTAGAATTGAGCATACTTTTAGGGATAAATATGAAATGTTAAAAGTTTCCACCTTATAGTTTGGTTTTATAGTTTTTCAACATTCAAAATACTGTCGGTGCATTTATTGTTGTCTCTTTTAAACAAAAAGCGCATACGTTTGGAAGTAATCATGTAATAATGATAACTTGACAAAACGCAGTAGTTGTATGAAAGAGATACTAAAAGTCCATGACATTTCCAAAACTTTCATAGAATTTACAAAATTCCATGACTTCTCCAGGCCTGAAAAATGACATTTTCAATTTCCATGACCGTGGTGAACCCTGCTCCAAACCAAAGGAAACTCAGGAGGCTAGCAGTTATAGGAGCAAATTTGGAGCCAGCTCTTATTAGGAATAGGAATTTATTTATGGACATAATAGTGAAATTAAAACACTGGGATCAAGTACAGTGGGTTAATAAGAACATTTTAAGACCAAAATAATGAGTGGGGCTGGGTTATGAAGCTGGCGATATGATACACACACCTCGATACAGTGCACTTTCAATTGGATATGATATATTTCAAATCGATATGGTTCAATAAAAATAATGGCTAAATAATGACTACGATACTAAAAGTCTTTGTTAAACCACTTCTTGTGCAAAATTCATATGAAATGCCCATTTTAATCATCAAAACAGTGAAAATGTCAAATGTGTCACATAAAAGAGTTTCTTTCCTCTAAACAAGCAACAAAACTGTGGCGTTGTAACAAAATAATTGAGTAAAATACACCAAAAAATACTCTTGCGATATATATATATATATATATATATATATATATATATATATATATATATATATATATATATATATATATATATATATATATATATATATATATATATATATATATATATATATATATATATATGATATATATATATATATATATATATATATATATATATATATATATATATATATATATATATTAGGGGTGTCAAATTATCGCGTTAATTGCGATTAATTAATTACAGTCATATTTAGCACGTTATGTTTTTTAATCGCGTTAATCTCATTTTTTATCTCTAAATTTACTGTTTCTGTATGCGAGTTGCTTTATTATTAAACCAGTTTTTATGTGTGACATGAAATATAAAAGAAAATAACAAATATAATATCGCCTGAAAACAACCTGCATAGGCTCATGATGTCTGCACTACTGTCCTATAGTGACCTGCCACATGAGGGGACACGCACACAAACACACACAAACACAAACAAACACAAACACAAACACACACCTTCATCATCGTCATTAACCTGAGAACGTGTGGACCACGTTTCCTTCCGTAGACACTGCGCGGACACCGACGTGCTGCCGTGAGCCGCGTGTGAACCGTGTTTTCTCGCTTCCTCCTGTGCGCCTCTAAACCAGAACTAACACCAAGACTAAAACCAGGACTAATCCAGTCCAGGACTAAACCAGGACTAAACCAGGACTAAACCAGAACTAAAACCAGGTCTAAACCAGGTCTAAACCAGGACTAAACCAGGACTAAACCAGGTCTAAACCAGGACTAAACCAGGACTAAACCAGAACTAACACCAGGACTAAAACCAGGACTAACCCTTTCCAGGACTAAACTAGGACTAAAGTAGGACTAACTAGGACTAAAGCAGGTCTAAACCAGGTCTAAACCAGGACTAAAACCAGTGATCTCATATATAAAGCATTTCTCTATCAATAATATTTTTAATATGGTTAAGGAAAGACTGGACTTTTTATTGTCTTTAAGTAGACAAAAGTTATTATGTTCAGATTTCCTCGTCTTTGCTGCTTTACAGCAAACAGTTTCTTATTCATTAAGACTTGAGCTCAACAGCCAAATTGGAGAGATTTGTTAAACAATAAATGACTTTATAAAGTCACTTTTTTTAATCTATATCAGTCTTTTGATCTGCCACAATAATGTAATAATAATGAATTTAAATGAAAATACCTCAAATTGAAGGCTTTTCTCAGCAATTTTTAGGTGAGATTAAAATGAGATTAATTAGATTAATTAATTACAGATCATAATTAATTAATCTCTCAATTTTTTTTTAAATCGCATGACAGCATATATATATATATATATATATTATATATATATATATATATATATATATATATATACATATACACACACACACATATACAGCAGCCCATGATATCGATACACTCTGTCTATGGTTTTACCCCAGTCCCTCATGCAGACATTGTGACATCACTTGAAACACAGCAGTAGTATTTTTTCATCATTTGTTTTCTTTACCAGTTGTTTGTAGTCGATCTGCTGTCGTATTAACTTGTCCTCACTGAGAGAATAGCGAGCCTCTCCTGTAATGGCGTCTATGGGGCCCTTCTCCATCTGCTGCTTTATGGCACAGTACAGCATAAACAGAGGCTCTCCAGCGCACTCCTGAAAACACAACACAGAGAGCAGGTTATGTTGATGAAGCCCGTTTCAGTGTCATTTTGGTGTTTGTTTACAGGCCTAGTTTCGCAGCAATTTTATAACAGTTCTGAGAAGACTTTATGCAATAATGCTATAGACGGCTATTCAAACTTTCTCCGCACATAACTGAGGAGTGTACCTTGAGGAAGCGATGCAGGAGGAAGGTGAACCAGTTCGTCAGCATCTTTTCAGCCACAGACTCCGTCCTAGAAACACATAAGTGGGAGAGATCGTTATTAAACAGTAATATATGATTTAGTGTAAAATCTAAGCACAGAGGTGGGATCAAGTCTTTGTTCGGCAAGTCTCAAGTCTTTGACCTCAAGTCCAAGTCAAGTCTTGACTCACTGGCCCATAAGTCAAGTCCAAGTCATCTGCTTTGAGCTTCAAGTAATTTCAAGTCTTTAAAGCAAAGCACCAAATATAGCTTAGAGTTTTGCTATTTATATGATTTTTACACTCATTGTACTTTAAAAAGTCATGGTATATTTATATATGAGTATTTATATAAGAGTTGTAGAAATGCAAATTTTTCCTTTTTAAATGTCTTGGCAAGATCTTAGTGTGAATCAATACAGTCAGGTAGAAAGAATTCAGATTTAAAAGTACTAAACAAGTTATTTTGTCATGAAGGATCTGGTTTTATGTAGTTAACTGTTTCACTGTATTGTACGAGATTGTACTGTATTGTACTGTATATTACTGTGAGACATTTGAGGATACTTTATCACAGTACTTCAGTTACATCCAAAGTGACAAACAGAAATGGGAGGGACATGTTCCAGTTTGTTCCTGTAAAATTAAACACCGCATGTATCAACTGTAAAGAGAAAAGTATTTTCTAAGAACATAATATTTTTTAGGAGAAGCATCAAGTCTTCTCAAGTCACAGAGCTCAAGTCCGAGTCAAGTCCCAAGTCGTTGACCTTCAAGTACAAGTCGAGTCCCAAGTCTTAGTCCATTTTATCAAGTCAAGTCTCAAGTCCTAAAAATAGTGACTCAAGTCTGACTCGAGTCCAAATCCCCACCTCTGTCTAAGCAATCCACCATTGAATTATTTCCATTAAAAGCATAAGACTGCTGCACTGCTTGAGCTTATCTTTGAGCTTTAGATGGATAATTGTAGTAAAATGAGATCAAAGTTCACCTCCTGAGCAGTAGTTTGGGGTGGTTCCTGTTCTCCAGGTTCTTCTCGATCAGATCGGCCAAAAGCTGCTTCAGAACCACTGTGGCGTACTCCATTCGACCCTGGGAAAACAAGATAATAAATCCTAATGATTCTGAAGAGTGTCTTTGCTTGCTATTGCGGTTTCCTTCTTTACTTTGCTTTTTAATCAGTTTACCTCCTCCAACACCAGATAATGTGTCTATTTTTGATTTTCTTTCAAATAAAACAAGACTTTTAAACCATTTTTACATTTTTTAACAAATCATCTGAAGAACCAGCAACATGTCGGGGAGAAAAGACCAAGGGAATTCTGTCTGTGAGCGCTGTCGGAACTATCAACAAGAAATTAATGAGCTACAAGCATGGATATTTGCTTTAGAAACTGAACAAGGACTTCATCAGACACTACCAGTGACTTCCAGAGGTGAGCAGCCCACAGTTACTTCCAGAGAAGAGGGTGAAAAAACTTTCCAAAACTTTGTACAGGCCAAAATGCAAAGCCAACACAAAAGACAATGCAAATGCAGAATATTATAGTTTCTAATATTTAGAAACTTAGAAAAGAACATGCAGTAAATGGATACAACAGTAGATACCAAACTAGTGTTTAAGTTTAGCGAGTATGGGCGTGTCTTTATGGATATCTGAAGGAAATCTGTTCATATTGCCACATACCTGCAGAGCGGCCATGAGCAGAGACGCCACATTCCCCCGGTCCCTCATGGAGAACGACCTTTGACCTTCCAGAGTGTGTATGAAGGTCAACAGGAACATCTTATTGTTGAGCAGCTGAGAGAAGAGACGCAGCGCCTTCTCCACGTTAGCAGGGGACTGGAGACAGGAGCAAAACCGGGTTAGAACCAGGACTTAACCAGGACTTAACCAGGACTTAACCAGGACTTAACCAGCTCTATGCCAGGGCTTAAGTATGGTCAGGTCCAGGTTATAGTGTGACTTACATCCAGCTCTTTGAGGACTGGGTGCTCCTCGATTCCCGGGAACATGACTCTCATGGTGTAGGTGCGATATTCCAGAAACGGGATTTTGACTCCGTCCATGTCGTTGGTGAGCTCCTGGATGTCGGTCTGCAGCTCTGCGAATGCTACGAGACACAATGGACAGAACAGACTTAGACTTAAAATGATGCATTTCTTGAGTAATAACTATGTGTTTTTAAAAAATATGATTGCGTATTTGATGTTTTTTGTTGAAAAAAAAAAAAATAAATAAAAAATAGTAGATAGATCAAAATATGTTGAAGGGCCTATATTATGAAATATTGCCATGTTATAATGTTGTTACCTCCTCAAAAACATACCTGCAGTTGTGTTTTGATTCATTCACACGTTAGAGTATCCCTTTATTAGTCTATAAGCTCAAAATACTTAGTTCCACCTTGTGATGTCATGAAGTGGTAGTTTTCAAGTTCACAGCTCCTCTTTAAATCAATAGAGATGGGTAATTCTAGGGCTGGTGTATGGAGTTTAAAAAACACAGTGGAATTCTGAAATCGTATTGGTCACAGATTTGGAGTCATATAAACCATGTTTTTGGGTCTAAATTGATGTTTACTTTTGAGTTTTTATACTTGGGAGATTTTAAAGTCCAGAATTGGAGAAATGATGATTAGAAAGTTATTAGCAACCCTACTTGTAGCAAGAAAAAAAGCCATTACAAGAAAATGGCTGAGGAGTGAATAGAAATAGTCTATGAAATCTATGTGACGGAAAAGCTGTCTTTCACCCTTTGGACCCAAACGGACTCTTTTTATGAAACATGGATAAAATTGACTGAGTATGTGAAACCTTTTAGATCGGACATTATCTGAAAACTAATACTGTAAACACATCTATATTTACATTTCAATGAACGACTGTAACGGAACTCTTCTCCTAAAAAATAAAAATTACAAAAAATCTAAAACACAGTGGAGCACTTTCTGTATTACCACATGACATCACAAACTGGAATAGAGAGTTTTCAGCCCGTATTCACATGGGATAAGTACAACCTGGGGACGTCTGGTAATTTGTAAATTACCGCTCCACTTCTGTGTTATTTGCAACGCATTCTCACGGGATAAGCAAAGTCCGTGAATTACTCTATTTTACTGAAATTGACTGCGATTGAAAGAGAGAAGAATGCAGAAAGAAAAAAAAAGAGATAGAAAAGACGCATAATTACAACAAACACTGAGTTGCAAACTCTGGACTAGTATTATGACCGGACGCCTGTGTTTGGCGAAATATAGTTGGTAATTTGCGGAGGAATTTTTACTTTACAATTACAGACTTGGCGCATTTGCACGGGATTAAGATCTCAGGCATGCTCTGCAGTTATTACAAATCACCAAAGGTCGACAGGTAAAGCTTATCCAGTGCGAATAGGGCTTAAATATGCACAATTTGTGTGTTAAACGTGTGAATGAAACAAACAAATTCAGGATGATTGATGAAGAAACAACATTATAACAGATCAGAGTAATATGAGCCCTTTAAACAAAAAGTGAAACACAAACAAAAAGGTTTCATGCAAGACTTATTTCAAAACTCTGTCTCACCCTCCTTGCACTCTAGCGCCACCCGGCTCTCCAGGTTGTCCATCTGTAACTGCAGGCGTTTGAGCGTGCGGTCAGCGTCTCTGGTCTTCCTCTTGTACGCGATGAGGACGGCGATAATGGCAATCAGCAGGACGCCGCCTCCGGCCCCGATCCCGATGATGGCGGGCAGAGTCAGGGCGGAGTCTGAGTAGATGTGGAGGGTCCCAGGGGAGTACTCCAGACCCCCAACCAGGATCTGAGAGAGGACAAAGACAGGGGTTAGAAACAAGGGCCAAACCAGGACTAAATGAGGACTAAACCAGGACTAAACCAGGGCTGAACCAGAACTAAACCAGGGGTGAACCAGGACTAAACCAGGGTGAACCAGCGGCAAACAGGACTAAACCAGGACTAAGCCAGACCAACCAGGACCAAACCAGGACTGAACCTGGACCAAAACAGGACTAAAACAGGACCAAACCAGTACCAAACCAGGGCCAAGGCTAAACCAGGAACTAAACCAAGACTAAACCAGGACTAAACCAGGGTTAAAGCAAGACTAAACAAGGACCAAACCTGCACCAAAACCAGGGTTAAACCAAGGTCTAAACCAGGACTAATCCAGGAACAAAACCAGGTCTAACCAGGACCAAACCGGGGCCAAACCGGGGCCAAACCAAGACTAAACCAGGACCAAACCACGATTAACCAGGATCAAACCAGGACCAAACCAGGACCAAACCAGGGCTAAATAGGGACTAAACCTAATAGAAAATTCTACACAAGTTATACTATAATTACAGGAAACAGAAGGCTAAGATTATCAAAGTAATTCGGCCGTAATTGATTAATAAAAGGTTAAAAAGAAAAGATGATATAAAGTTTAACAGTAGAGAAAAAAACATTTGTATATATTATTAATCATCCAGTTGAAAATTGAACATCACCTTTAAGTGTTCACATTTACATTGATTTAGTTGGAGTTACTTATCTCCCATCTGCTCCACGGCCTTTTCATTACTCTGTTTTTGAATCAATAATATCAGAGGCTAATTAATAAATGATAATATCCACGGACGTAGGTCGATAATAGTTTTAATATTTTATTCAAGAGCGTATTTGAAGATGAGTCACTTCAGACCAATTACACAGAGATCTCCCACAGCGCCCCCTACTGGATCTGACATTTAGCACACTAATCTGAGTTAATACCACATTTTCACCTGGACAGAGGGGATGTCTTGACTTTAAAGAACACATATTATGCTAAATGGACCTTTTTGAGCTTTTAACCAGGTCAGAACTTAACTTTTCCTTCTTGTCTCTGCTCCTCACGGCACATTTTTTAAAGCTTTGTTCCCTCATAAAAACGTACATGGAGTGGTATTTCACATCAATCACCTTTGGTTTCAGTAATCCTCTGTAAAAAGTCCTTTGCCTCTGAGCCTCAAGAAACACCCATTCAAATTTCCCAGGTTTGTAATGTCATGGATAGAGAGACCCTGTGCAGTTCTTAAGTCCATAAATCATCGCCACACTCGTTTAAAGCATTTTTGCCTTCAAATCTGGCTCATTAGTGCTGCGTGCTTACATCAACAAGTCCAGACATGTTCCTTATTACTTATATTTATTGTTTTCACTGTGGTAATTCCTTTTGCTGCCAGTAGATGGCAAACTACATCAGATCAGTATATCTGGTGTATCAGTAGATTAAATTAGTCATTATTTAAATTCTAAATCCTGATATTCCAAAGTAAAGGTACACAAGAGCATGGGTAAAGGTCAATAAAATAGAGGTAATGCATAATATTTCTTCTTTAATTGACAATAAGATGCTAAAGGGAATATATTACGACAGAATTCAAATAAAGGATTAGCGTATTTTTCGGACTATAAGGCGCACTTAAAATCCTTTAATTTTCTCAGAAATCAACAGTGCGCCTTATATATTACTTCTAGTTGTGCTTACTGATCTCGAACTGATTTTATGTCTTTATGTTTTATGTTGTGTTAGAAGCTGACCGCATCAGCAGCACAAGGAGCGAGCTGTTTTTTTTTTCAGCTCTTATAGTTTATGCAAATTACCCATGAGGCTTTAAGTTTTGTTTCTGTAAAACATAAACAAATGTGCGCAAAGCTGTATCCAAGTCATTATTACTCAATGTATATTTGAATCCTCCTTGAAGGAAATTAAAAAAACACACTTAAATTATCCACCCACATCCACATTCATAATCCACATTCACCAAGACAGACAACGCCGGGGAAATTATGCCACGATTGGCCAGTGGATCGTGGATTCCTGGGCTAAGGGATCAGTCTCAAGTGTCGTCTGTTTGTTTCGCTTAATGTGCCTTATAATCTGGTGCGATTTATGTATGAAAATAAATGAGATAATTCAACATTAATGTTATTACGCCTTATAATCCAGGGCGCCTTTTAGTCCAAAAAATATGGTACTCAAACATGCGTGAATGAGACAAAACACAACTCTAGGTCTGTTTTTGATGAGGCAATAGTATTATAACATGGCTAAAAACTCACAAGAGTACATTCTGTCGTAATATAAAACCTTTGACAAAATAAAGTGAATATATATGAGTAGAAGGTGCTGATATTGTAGCCGTTTTTTTTACCTGTACTTTGTGTTCTCCGGTGAGGTCGGGTGAGTCACACAGCAGCTGGCTCTCAGACACAGTGAGGACACAGGGGGACTCTCCGATCAGAACTGTAATTCAGACGAGAGTTCCCAGGAGCTGGAGGGACCAGGTTTTTACCCTACAAACACATGTGCAAAAATACAGAAATAAAATAGGCCCCACTGTAGAGACCTTTGTTACTCTTCCAGTTAAATTAGAGATACATTTGTGTTTCATTTGGTATTGACACATGTATTTTTTCTTGAGTTTTTTTTAGGCAATCTTAATTTTTTTCGTCAGTGTTTGCTAATGTGTGCATTGTGTCTCCATGGTAACCACTGCATACATCTCTGCAAATAATCAGTGGACATTTCTGTAGTTTTGCTTTTCCTGTTAACCTAGATTCATATGGTATTCAGAGGTCAGAGGTGGATGAAGTACTTCATTTTGTTACTTAAGTACAAGTACAGATAGAAGTAAAACTAAAAGTATCACATGAAAAAATCTACTGAAGTACCTGGTTTAAAATGTAATTTTAAGGGTAAAAAGTAAAAGTATTTGCAGACATTTTTAAACAATTAAAGCACCAAATGTAGTGATTTTGATCAAAAATTTTAAGTTGTTCAAATGATTTCTGAATTTTTCTAGCCGTTTGTGTGTTTTTGTGTATTTTGTTTGCTTAAAGTTGGGACGTTAACTCAAATTAAACGTGCTAAAAATAATTCTCAGCTTTTTCCGTAGGTCTCAAACCTTAAAAAAAGTACATTTCACTTTTAAGTCCAGATATAAAATGTAGTGGAGTAGATATTACAGATAGCTGCTCTCAAATGTAGTGAGGTAAAAGTAAAGTAACGTATCTGCCGCAAAATGCCCTTAAGAAAACTACAGATATCTAAAAATTGTACTTTTATTTTTTTACTTTCCACGACTGTATTTAGTTTAGTTCTTACCTTGAGTATAATAGGTGAGCCTGGTTTGACCTCCAAGATCCCAGAAGAACCGAGGGGGTCAAAGGTCGGATTAGGGTAGTGAGTGAAGGAGGTCGAGTTTAACACCAGCAGAGAAGAAACCTGTACAGAAAACAGAAACAGCATTATTGTTACTGGAACTGGAACTGGAAAGGAATAGAAAAGTATCAGATTAAGAGGTTACAGAAGAGATACCTGGTCAAATATGAACCCAAACTCATCGGGCTGCAGCGCCCCCTCTGGTGGGGTGGGTTTAGTGTAGATTAAACCAGGAGCCAGGCAGGTCATGGTGCTGTCATTCACCACTGTGCAGAACTGCAGAGACAAAGAGTATGACAGTTTTATTTGTCAGGGCTGTACAAGTAGTAACAGAAGTAGTAGTAGCAGTAGTAGTAGTAGCAGGAGTAGCAGCAGTAGTAGAATCGATAGTAATAGCAGTAGAAGTTGCAGTAGCAGTAGCATAGTAGCAGTAACAGTAGCAGTAGCACCAGAAGCATCTGTAGTAGTAGTAGTAGCAGCAACAGTAGTAGTAGCAGTAGTAGTAGAATCAACAGGAGTAGTAGTACAACAGCTGTAGTAGTAGTAGTAGTAGTAGTAGAAGTTGCAGTAGCAGCAGTAGCAGTAGTGGTAGTAGTAGTAGCAGCAATAGCGGTAGCATTAGTAGTAGTAGTATCAATAGTACTAATAGTAGCAGTAGTAGCAGTAGTAGAAGAAGTCGCAGAAGCAGTAGTAGTAGAAGTCGCAGAAGCAGTAGTAGTAGTAGTAGCAGTAGCAGTTCTTACATTGCTAGTCTCCACTCCTCCGTACTTGGCTCGGACTTTGGGCTCCTGAATGGTCATTAGATTTGTCCCGGTCACTGTGATCACTGTACTCCCACTACACAAACAAATATAGAAATACTTCAGTTTATACAATAAAGTACGACTTATTTGTTTCTGTATTTTAATAGACTAAGAATGACACTGACTTGAGGATGGTCCAGTTGGGCTCGACGCTGGTGATGGTGGGATCCTCAGTGTAAATGTATTTCGTTTCCGGGTTGGTGACCTCTGCCCTGTCAATCATCAGGCGGATTGGGGCGGGGCCGGTGCCGGGGAGGGAGGCGGGGGTTATGCAGATTATCTCACGATTGGTCCGTCTGAAATTGAACAGCTCAGATTAGTGAAAGTGCTCGACCTCGCAACCTTGATCTGGACTAACCGTACACAAGGTCAACTATTGATGCTTGGGGATTCTCTACATGCATCTCTATTGCCGGAATGTTCATCAGTTACCATGGTGACACAATGCACACATTAGCAAACACTGTCAAATATGTTTTAAAATGGTCTGACTAGTTTGACTAGAGATCCCAGGACAGTCCCAGTTTTGAGCCCTGTGTCTCCTGTTCCAGCAGATTTATCCAAAACCATTGATTTGTCCCAGTTTTATAAAAGAAACGTCCCTGGTGTCTCTATTTTTGACCAAACTGATCCCTGCCAACCCTAAAGAGAGGCATAAATTGTCATTTGTGTAGGTAAAATACAGAAAAGCTGCTTAAAAATTACAAAAGCACAAAGAAAATGTGACTATACTGACTCACATTTGTGCTTAGTGCAATTTTCTTCAATTACGCAATTGTTTCATAATTTTATTATTACCAACCAACCCAAACCAAGAATGTCCCAGTTTTTTATTTTGAAATCTGGTCTAACAGCTCAAGAGAATACAAAATTGATATAAACAACACATTTTCACAGGAGCCTGTGATCATTAAGAGAGTAAGTGGTCCTATTTAGGAGTTTGATTTTCAACAAAAAGCAAAAAAGACTGACTAAATGAAAAAGTGTTGGCTTATGCTTGCTAGATTGAGACTGTAATTTTATGTGTCAGACTTGTATAAGCGCACAAATCATCTCACATGTTGTAGTTCCAACCAAGTCAGACTGTGTTAAAATAAAAATCTGATTAAAGTCTAACTTGAGTAACAGAGCTTCAGACATAGAAGTGCTTTAAATTAGCTTCACACCCCCAGAGAATATTGATAACATCAGCTGCAAAGTATCAATACGACTATAAACAAAACTGAGACAGGTGCAGAGCAGGTCTTACTTGACAAATAGACACTCTTCCTTGTGGATGTAGACGTTTACTGCACTCCCAGCATCCAGGTGTCGGCCGGTCACTGTGAGCCGTGTTCCTCCAGAAACAGGCCCCATCTCCGGGCGCACTCGGCTGAAGCTGGGGCTCTACAAGAAGGAAGCAGTGAATTGAAATGAACACTGAAAAAAAGTAGCAGTGTTTCAGTAACAGTGGTTTCCCAACTGTTTTTATCCATTTTTATTTGAACAAGCTTTAAAGGTTAAAAGCTTTAAAGGTCCAATATTACGCAAAATTGACTCTTGTGAACATTAAGCCATGTTATAATTAGTGGTGTGCAAAAATATTGAAATATTGATATATGGTATTGTTTAATGTGATACAGTATCGATATCGTGTGCTGCTGTATCGATATATCACCAAGAGTATTTTTGGTGTACTTTACAAAATTATTTTGTTACAGTGCTACAGTTTTGTTGCTTGTTTAGTGGAAGGAAACTCGTTTATGCGACACATTTGACATTTTCACTATTTTGATGAGAAAATGCTTCATATTAACTTTGCACAAGAAGTTTAACAAAGACTTTAGTATCACAGCCACAATTTAGTCTTTACTTTTTATTGAATCGTATCGAATCATCATGGAATCGAAAATGCACTGATATGTATCGTATCGTGGCCTATGTATCGAGGTATGTATCATATCAGCAACTTATTAATGATACCCAGGTATGGTTATGCTGCTTTAATTGCCTCAAAAACATACCTGGAGTTGTGTTTCAATTCTTGTATTACCACATGACATCACAAGGTGGGGCAGAGTGTTTTCTGTCTGAGAGAACAACTATATACCTCTGTTTGTGTGTTAAACATGTGTGAATCAAACAAAACACAACTCTAGGTATGTCTGTGATGAGGAAACAACTTTACAACATAGATCAGAAAATAGCGTAATATTGGCCCTTTAAAGTTTTTGTAGAGAAACATCACAGCACAAATAAAGAATAAAATAAAGAATTGTGCAAAAACAAAACAATAAAATCTGTAGCAATTGCTTAAGTTTCCATTGACTGCAAAAAACTACAATACCCATAATGCCTAGGATCCTGTTGGCGTTGCATAAATGAGCCTGCTTATCTGCTGCTTGATCTATTTTTATCTACATAAGTGCATTAATATCGGAGGCCATTTTGTTTACGTCCTTGAGCATAAATCCTTGTCTATGAACGAACAGAAATTAATAAAAGATAAATAAATTGCGCTTACAGAAGAGGGAGCGTTCCAAGTACATTAACATGCTTGTCGTTTATGACCTTGTGAATAAATAACGAGAGATGAATATGATAGAATACGTACAACAAAGGAGTAGGTCTGAGTGGAGAGGGTCCTATACTCCGCGCTGCAAACCCCAATGCAAAGCTCCACGGGACCCCCAGGGGAGTGGGGGAGTAAAGCCTCAGCCATGTCACACACGATTCTGAAAAAAAGGAAAAAAAAGGTGAGTTTTTAAGTGTTTATGAGCTATGGAAAACAGGTGCCAAGCATAGATTGAATAAGCAATTATAGAGGCGAACTTGTAGCCGAGTTCCAAATTAGGAATAGGAATTTATTTACGGACAAAATAGTGAAATAAAAACATGAGGATCATGTAGAGCAGGTTAATACGAACATTTTAAGACCAAAATGACGAGCCTGACTGTAGTAGTTACAGCAAGGGGGTGACAATGTTTCAACATAACGATGTAACAATAACCGAAATATCGTTATATCGTATCATCAAAGTCTCACAATAATATCGTGGGCTGTCACAATATATCGATTTACGATATAAGTTCCTTTGCTTAAATGCATGGTTTTACAGTAGCAACAGCTTATAAACATTGGGAACTACATATCCCATGATTCATTTCAGTGCAGAAAACATGAAGAAATATGTTTTTTACTTGAACTCTTGGGATTATGATGGAAATAATTCACATCAAAATCTTGTCAGGGTATTTTAAAAGCAAAAAAGCATCCTATCTACAATTATATCAGCCTCGCCAAAATATCGCAATATATCGTGATAATATCGTACTGTGCGATTTGGATAGTTACATCCCCTATTTCAATGTAAAGTCATTTGGAGCCAGAGTCGATGGAGCCAGAAGCACCCCCATCCTCACTTCCTATTTGAAACTAGAGGGTTAACTATGCTCATTTGTAAATATAGATACTATGGTGCTAAGCAATAACCACAAAATATCAACAACTAGATGAATATGAGTTTAGTTTAGACCCAGGTCACAAAGGGTTCAATACAATATATTTTTTCAACATATATACAGACTGTTTGTATGTTACACAAAAAGCAAATCAGAATTTTTTTTTTTAATTTGAGGTTCTGAGAGAGTTTTATCAATGTCTTGCATTAAACCGGGGATGAACTAGGACTAAAGTACACTAAACCAGGGCTAAATCAGGACTAAACCGAGGATAAACTACAACTAAACCAGGAGTATACCAGGAGCATACCAGGACCACACCAGGAGCACACCAGGACCACAGCCGGGCTAAACTACAACTAAACCATGGCTAAACCAGGACTACAACATCAGGACTACACCGGACCAAAACCAAGACTACACCAGGGCTACACCAGGGCTAAACCAGGGCTAAACCAGGGCTAAACCAGGGCTAAACCAGGGCTAAACCAAGAATAAACTACAACTACACTAAGACTACACCGGGACTACACCAGGACTACACCAGGACTACCAGGACTGCACCAGGACTACACCAGGACTGCACCAGGACTACACCAGGACTACACCAGGACTACACCAGGACTAAACTGAGGATAAACTACACCAGGACTAAACCAGGACTAAACCAGGACTAAACCAGGACTAAACCAGGGCTAAACCAGGGCTAAACCAGGGCTAAACTGAAGATGAACTACAACTACATCAGGACTACCCCAGGACTACCCCAGGACTACCCAGGACTACACCAGGACTACACCAGGACTACACCAGGACTACAACAGGACTACACCAGGGCTACACCAGGACTAAACTGAGGATAAACTACATCAGGACTAAACCAGGGCTACACCAGGGCTAAGCCAAGGATAAACTACAAATAAACTAGGACTAAACCAGGACTATGTTACGCAAAAAGCAAATCATACGTTTTTGTTTGAGGTTCTGAAGGTTTTTATAACAAAGTCTTACACTGTAAACATGTTTAGAGTTACATTCTCCCTATACGTCTATTAAAGGAGTCTGTTTCTTCACCACATATACAGACTTTTGGCCTTTGGGGGTAAATAAAACCAGTCAGGACATTTATAATAAGCCTCTTTCTAGGTTTAAAAGGAGGTAGTAAAATTGGATCTCCATTTTGTGAAGTCTCTCGAGATACAACCTGAGCCAACAACGCAAAAAGTCTTGAGGTAAATACTCTAATACTAAATAAAGGGGCTCACCTCTCAGCGCTGATGTACTGTGTAGGGACAGGGGTGCACCTGACGCCCGCCACCTGCACGTGGGAGATCTCCTTCACCTGCAGCCCCAGGTTCTCCCCCTCGATGGTCACGCGAGTGCCCCCCTCCCTGGGTCCAGTCAGAGGCTCGATCTGCACAAACACAAAGAAGGCAGTGTTTAAAAGGAGAACTGATCTAAACTGAGGGAAAACCAGAACTAAACCAGGACTAAACCAGGACTAAACCAGGACTAAACCAGGACTAAACCAGGACTAAACCAGGACTACACCAGGACTACACCAGGACTACACCAGGACTACACCAGGACTAACTTATCAATAAACTGGGACTAAACCAGAACTAAACTTGGTCTAAACCAGGGCTAAATAAGCTAGAGCTAAACCAGGACTAAATCAGGACTAAACCAGGGCTAAACTAGGGCTAAACCAGGACTAAATTAACTAGGGCTAAACCAGGACTACACCAGGGCTAAATCAATTTAGGGCTACACCAGGACTGCACCAGGACTACACCAGGACTAAATAACTAAATAACCTAGGGCTAGACCAGAACTAAACTAGGGCTAAATAAAAGGGCCAAACAGGAATAAACCAGGGCTAAACCAGGACTAAACCAGGACTAAACCAGGACTAAGCCAGAGCTAAACTAAGGCTAAACCAGATATAAATAAACCAGGGCTAAACCAAGACTAACTTACCAATAAACTGGGACTAAATTAACTAGTGCTAAACCAGGGCTAAATAAACTAAAGCTAAACCAGGACTAAACTAGGACTAAATATATTAAGGTTAAACCAGGATTAATTTACCAACAAAGTGAGACTAAACCAGGACTAAACTTGGCCTAAACCAAGACTATCCTATCAATAAACTGGGAACTGCATTACACCAAAGGCAAATGTGATTATTTGTTTGAGGTTCTGAGGGTGTTTAAACAATATCTTCCATTATTAACCTTTTTAAATACATTTTTCCCATGCGTCTCCTTCAGCAATTCAATTTAGTGACTCACAAGAATTCTTCAGAAATTGGAAATGAAAAATGTGCTGCGATGAGCATACAAATAAGATCTGGGCTCATCACAATAACAAAAACAAATCAAGTATAATCACAAAGTATGTGTTTTAAAGGTGCACTGTGCAACTTTTCTGGTGGAAGGTCCAGTACCTACTTGTCAGATATTATTGCTTTCTCTGGAATATTCCATGGTATGACTTTAAATACATATACATCTAGCATTTATTAATTACGGGGGTTTCTATTGCTCAAAACTACAATAATTCCTTCTGTGAATAGGAGCAACTCTCCACAGATCTGAACTGTAATGTCGTGTAGTGCTGTAACCTGCTCGTCTCTCTTGGGATATATAGGTTTGATCTATACTGTGGAACATTCTAGACAAAGCAGCAATATTTCCATGGAGACAAGCAGGTGGTGGAACCTCCACTAGAAATGTTACATAGTGCATCTTCAAAACACAAAACGACCCAAAATATGTGTTCTTGATATATTGCTTTTTAAATATTAGAAAGTATTGATACAGTCCAATACATTCTAAACTGATTTTGTAAGATGTGTAATTATGTGATAGGAGTTTAAGTAGTTTCTCAATAAATGTCCCAAAGCAAAAAATTCTAAAATTTTTTCACACTGACATCCATTTAAAGGTCCAATATCACGCAAAATTGGCTCTTGTGAGTGTTAAACAGTGTTACAATGTTGTTACCGCCTCAAAAACAGACCTGGAGTTGTGTTTTGTTTCATTCACATGTTTGAGTAATCCTTTATTATTAGTCTGTTTACATCTCCAAAGCTCAAAATGCTCTATTCCACCATGTGATGTCATGAAGTGGTAGTCTTCTTTTACCTTTAGTTCAGTAGAGATCGTCAAATCCTGGCCTGAAAATTAACCAAATGATTCTACTGAAGGTGTATGAAGTTTAAAAACACAGTAGAGCACTTCCTGTATCACACGACATCACAAATTAGAACGGAGTGTTTTCTGTTTAAAAGAAGAACTCTTTTGTGTGTTAAAAATGTGTGAATGAAACAACACAACTGCGAGTATGTTTGTGATAAGGAAACATTACAACATCGATCTGAAAATTGTGTAATATGGGCCCTTTAATAAAAACAAATTCTGCATGTTTTTTTTTAAATTTATTTTTATTTTTTTTATGTATATCTTTTCTCTTACCCGGCTGATGCGCGGGTGACTGCAGCGTAGATTGTGTCGTCCGTGGTGCATCCAGTTGAGCTCAGGAGAAAGACAGTGCTGCTTCAGAAGGCATTTCCTGGTATCCATGCACCACCCGCACTCAAAGGCAGGGGGCGCTCTGAGACACTGCCCACAGCTGCTCCTCTGTGCCTCACACTTGTACAGCAGGGCTAAAACGCAAGAAAATATCAAATATCATAAGATTCAAGCAACATAATTGAAATTTAACTGTGCTAATAGTTATAAAGCAAGGCACAATTTATTATTATATTTATCTTTCTTTATCAGTCACAATTGTCTCCATGTACCACCTTCAAATCAAATGTAGGGGGCGCTCTAATCGATAACAGTAAATCCAGAAGTACCTTTCATTGAGACAGGTTTGTCGATAAAGAAGTCTCCGTCCCACACAATGGAGAAGTCCACAGGGAGGTCCCCCACTTCATCTCCTTCATACCAGTACTGAAACGCAAATAAATAAGGATTATTAAGAAATGTTTACGTATTTACAACAAGATTTTAAAAAATTAAAAATAAAAAAAAAAATTAAAAATTGTTTGGTTTGATTTTTTTTTTATTAATTTTTTTTGTGACCCATTGTAGTCTATACACTTTCATGACATTTTATAACATTTGTATATTTACGCATAAAAAAAAAGTTTTCTCTTTTTGAATTATTTTTATATTATTTTATGTTATTTATTTTTTATACAAGTGATCCATTCTTTCTGTGCCATGCATTTTTTTATGCCATTTCATTTAATATTAACATGTACTTACAAAAAAAAAAAAAAAAAAAAAAAAAAGGCTTTGACAAAGTATTTATCTTTATTTATTTTATTTAATTTTCTTTTTTTTTATTTTTTTATTTAAGTGCCCCATTCTTTGTGTTCCATACGTTTAATGACATTTATGCATTTTTTACATGAGGGCCTATAGTCGGGCTCATTCATGTGAAAGCAGCGAGTCTGTTCGGTCTAATGAGTCCGGAGTGAGTTTCCCGCAGAGCCGAGACTGGAGCTGGACCCGTCACCGTGGAGACCAGGCCCCGTCGCTATGGAGGTGAGGCCAGCGTTACCACGGAGACGCTGGGGCCTGTCGCCATGGGGTCAGCAGTGCCCGGAAACCCTCACTTCACAGACGCACATTAGAGCCGGACGGAGCCGCTCGAGATCGTATCTCACACACCGTCTGGGATCTTTTGATTTTGGACTGAAAGGTGAATGAGGCGATCGGCAACAACACACCAACAACAAACTATTTATTTATTTATTTATTATTATTATTATTAAGGAAAAACTCTTCTCTTCTGGTCTGATTCTCACTTTAAGCAGCTGTAAAACCAGGCTACAGGATGACGTGATTGACTGAAAAGCTGAATGTAAACCGCATTGTGTAACTGCCCTGATACTCAACTAAAGTGCATATAACAGGATTTCATGTTTTCCTGATTATTACAAGTAGAACATGGCACAGTTTATAAATATTTATCACCGTTTTCTTCAGAAACGGATCCTTGATTGGCATACAAGTTGAAAAATACAGAAAAAACAGTGACAGAAACAGTGAAATCATGCAGGGATTCTGCCTGAATGTCTATTGTGGAAAGTTCAGCAGTTACCATAGTGACATAATTAGGGATGCAGATACCAATACTGGTATTAACTATTGGTAGCGATACTGGAAATTTATACTATTTACTGGTAGGGGTGTGCAGAGTATTTTTCGGTAAATTTTACAAAATTATTTTGTTCCACAGTTACAGTTTTGTTGTTTGTTTAGTGGAATGAAACTTGTTTATGCAACACATTTGACATTTTCACTGTTTTGATGATTAAAATGTTTGTGTTTCATATGAATGAATGAATGATTTAGCTATTATTTTTTTATTGAACGGTATCGAAATTGATCGAATTGAATGGAAAGCTCTGTGTATGAGATATGTATGGTATCATGGCCTATGTATCGAGATATGCATGGTATCATGGCCTATGTATCGAGATATGCATCATATTGTGGCCTATGTATCGAGATATGTATCATATCAGCAGCTTCTTAATGATACCCAGCTCTATTTACTGGTCATAGTTTCCCAGAAAGAACTTTGTTGAAAGAAAGTTGTTGTGCAGTTACTAAAAAATAAATAACGGCTACATGACACATTTGGAATAGTTTTGTTTCATTTTGTTTTTGTTTTCAGGAAATAAATAATGTTTTCCATCTCTGCCCTGGTATTAATTCATATCAATACAATCAGCAGATACTTAAAGCCATAGTATCGGAATTGGTATTGGAACTGAAAAAGTTGGATCCCTAGTCTGAAACTCAAACAAAATATTTTCAGGAGCTTGTACCAGTACGAGCGTTCATAATCCTGTTCAGGGGTTTGATTTTTAACAGTAAGGTGCATTGTTTTACCATAGAGATGCATGTAGAACCCCCCACAACGTGATCTCACCCCAAAGTATCAAAACACAGGACCCATTTACACACAGGGACCTTTTATTTACAATTAAGAAAACAACTTAACAAAATAAAGCTGATGTTATAATGACCATAATTAACTCCAGAGCTGTGGGTGAACTGTAAATAACTGCAGGCACTGTTACTGGCTTAAATCTTGTTTTATTTTACCAGTTTAATTACACAAAACTGACCCTTAAATCATAAAAAACAAGTGGATTATTGGTGTTTGTAAATTTTTATGCACAAGGAAACAAGCCTGTATCTTTTTAACTAAACACTGGCAGTATAATGGCTTGTGAATTGAGCTCTCTGGACACTGAAGCAGATGGACCAGATGGACGATTATGAGCTGTGTTTGTACCTTTAGGGCCATGGTTAGTTTAGTTTGGTTTTATTTATCAAGATCCACATTACCTCCTGAAAACGCACTCACCCAGTCTCTGTTCTTAAGCTTATAACAGAGTATGATATTTTTTTACAGTGTTTCGAAACTTAAACGGATATAGACATGATTTGTTATACTGACATCTTTTCAGAGATGTTAATATAACAAGTCATGAAAATTTTGAAGTGTGATATATAGCTGAAGTAAATATAGACCAGGGGTGTCAAACTCAAATTCACAGAGGGCCAAAATTAAAATCTGGCTTTAAGTCAGGGGCCAAACTAAATATTTATTGAAAATTTTCAACAACATCCGCATGTTTTCTCTTCTTTCAAGATATGTAATGTTAAAGTTTTTCTAATTAAAATACATGTTATTAATAGTTTTGCCTAAACATTGAATCCAGAACAAACATAATATAAAATAATAACTCAATTTTAAATAAATAATGTCTCTATAGCTTGTATGAAGCCGGTGCGCCAGCTGTAATACATATTTGATATGATCTCCTGGGCCAAATATAACTATATTGCCGGCCAAATTTGGGCCCCGGACCTGAGATTGACATGTCTGATATAGATGATAAGATTGAACCCAAACCATTAAGCAGAATTTTTTACAACAAAGTGCCCTAAATATACAAAATGGTTCAAAAATGTTAACTAATATCTAAATAGCAGAATGCCACAATTTAGAAATTAAATTGTAAAGTTTTAGTTCATGATTCACTGTTCCACAGCTCAAATCTGATTATATTGCAGAAAAAATAACAAAAAATTCCCACTAGTATAGTAAAGAAAAAAGTGCAATGTGTGATGGATGTATGATATAAATATTGATCCCGAAAAATTATTGTTTCATCTAATATAAAGTGAATAATGAGTCGATACTGTATATTGTGACCAGTCTAGTGTAAGGTCTGGACCAAGTCTTTTGGTGGAAAATGGATAAAACACAGGGGGTCTTGGTTCAGTCCAAGAATCGAATGGGCTCCATAGTTTTTTTTCATAATTTTTTGCCTTAACACAGGTATCTTAAGCAAACTTTTACTGCAACTAATGGGGATGTAATGATATCCAAATCTCTCGGTATGATATTATCACGGCATGCATCTCATGGTACGATATTTATTGCGATATTTTGGAGAGGCTGATATACTTGTAGATGGGACAGTTTTTTGCTTTATTATACCTTGACAAGATTTTGGTGTGAATTATTTCCATCATAATCCCAAGAATTCAAGGAAAAAACATATTTCTTCATGTTGTCTGCACTGAAATGAATCATGGGATATGTAGTTCCCGATGTTTTTAAGCTGTTACTTCTATAAAACCATGAGACTTTTGACGATACAATATCACGATATTTTGGTTATTGTTACCTCCCTAGCAACTAAGTGTTCTCATTACTCCATTGATTGTACAAATATATCAGTTTTTGTTGGCTTTATGTGAAGCACTTTGGTCATCTTAAGTTGTTTTAAATGTGCTTTATAAATAAAATAAAACAGAATTGAATAAAATCAGGCCTAAAGCGAGTGCACTGTTGAGGCCATTTATATGTTAACCCTTCCCCTCCCTTCAAAAGACTTGATTTCAGCTTTGCTCTTTAAAATGCAGTACATCTCTTTCTCTTGGAGCAACATTAATCCGTCTCTGATCGAATTCCTGTCTGTGATATCGACCCCGTCTGTGACCTTTGACCCTGACCCCGAGGAGGTCGCGGAGTTGATTGACAGGACACGACCTCGGCGATATGGTAACGGCACGCTCACGGTTCACGGGGTCAAACATCTGAAGGTTCGTTTCACTGATGTCATTCAGACGTTGTAAAGGATATTAGCTCAAGGTCAGGAGGCTGCAATCTAAAATGAAAAGTGGCTTCTGGGAAATGTAGTTTAAACCCGGACCTCACCTGGCTCTTCCTAGTTGAGGTGTTTTGTTGTTAAAGCTTCTATATTACGCAAAATTTACACTTGTGAGCTAAAAGTCAAGTTATAATGTTGATACCTTCTCGAAAACAGACCTGGAGTTGTGTTTTGTTTCATTCACACATGTTTAAGTAACCCTCTCTCCATCTGCAAAGAACAAAATGCTCTGTTCCACCTTGTGATGTCATGTAGTGGAAGTTTTGACATTAAAAGCTACATTTTACCTCTTGTTCAGCGGAGACTAGGGCTGAATGAGTTTAAGAAAAAAATTAATTGCGATTTTTCTGGCAGATATTGCGATTTCGAGTGCACTTGAACATTTGCAAACATCACAGAAACTTACATCATACCAGAGTCCTGCACCGATGATTTGACACTGGATCGATTGCACTTGCATTTGTTTACATTTTACAGAAACAAAACATAATTTTGTTTCTGTAAAACGTAAATTACCACATGGGTAATTTGCACAAACTATAAGCGCTAAAAAACAGCTCACATCATGTGCCACTGATGTGTCAGCTTCTGTCGGACTAAAGGACATGACTCAGTGGATTATGAGTGTCCTTTCTGTGACAGAGGATGTGCTGATGATGGTGAGTCTGTTCTGTGCTTCTATCGCATTGGAGATGGTTCATGTTAAACTTTACATGAACGCAAGGTTTAAATCCTGGCCTCCTAACGTTGTGGTGGTGAATTACTTCGTGGTGCATAGACCTCAAGGCAGACCCATAAATCAAAAACGATGGCGACTGTGTGCTAAGTCGACGCAGAACTAAACTTCGCCCTTAAAATTGGGCTTTAGGAGCACTGCAAAAAATGCGGCTTTGATGCTCCCAAAATCATGTTGTCTGAGATTGCAATTTTCGGTCCAAAACGATTGTTCTGGCAATTCCAGGGCAGAAATCATTCAAATGATTCAAGTGAAGGTGTACGGAGTTTAAAAATACAATGGAGTACAACAATTCTGGCAAATGATTGGACAAGAAATACAAAAAATTCTGTCTGCAAATTGGACTAATAATCCTTTATTCCTACTGCTTGGTGTAACTGACCCCACTGTGAAGGACAAGTATAATAGAAAACTCTACGGGATACTGGCTTTTTGTGCTAGAAAAAGTCTACTAGTGAATTGGATGTCTGACCAGACTCCCTCTAAAACTCAATGACAGCATACGGTTCTTGGTTTTATTTCTTTCGATTACCTGACGTGCTGGCTTCATCATAAGGACAATATTTTTTAAAAAAGACTTGGGAATCTTTTTCGATGTATACTGGACTTGAGATTTCAGATATTATGACTGGGGTATTTACATTTTGAAATGAGTATATCTGTGTCTAATATATGAATGGGCCAATGTTTGTTTTGTTTGTATTGCCTATATTGTTATTATTGTCTTTATTTTGTTTAAACTAAAAGGCAATAAATATACACAGTGGAGCACTTCCTGCATCACCACATGACATCACAAGGTAGAACAGACCGTTTTCTGTTTGAAAGAAGGACTCAGCCTAAATATGTAAAAAAAAAAATCTTCATTTTGTGTGTTAAACATGTGTGAATGAAACAAAACAAATCTCCAGGTATGTTTTGGAAACATTAAAACAGATCAAAAAATATGAGCCCTTTAAGCTTTATTAAGGATTGGTGACATATTGATTCCAGTATTGGTATCGCTGGATATCAATTTTTTTTCTGATATCAGTACTGGGTGATACTGATATTTGCTACTGATACAGATATTTTTTTGGTGATGTCCCACTGTGTGTCCATGTGTCATTTCCACATTCCCAGAGAGAGTTATTTTATATCCCGATAGATTAACTTTTCACTTTTCATATAACAAAATTTATTTCCTTCAAATTAAGATACATTTGTGGGCCTTGCTATGAATTTTAAAAGCTAAAATTAGCAGTATTAACAAATATTGGTTATCGAAAACAGCAACAGTCTAAATATTGGATAGGAACTGAGAAAGCAAATAAAACACTAGAACTCGAACATGTGAAAACTGGAAACTGTTGCATTGTGGGAGCTGTAGTCGTCACTCACCGATGTGTTCTGGCACTGGATGCAGGAGGAGTTGAACCTCACAGCGGGGATCCTCTGGACTCGGCCCTGGATGTGGAACACGCACTCGTAGTTCTTCTGTCCGGACTGAGGCTGGGGCAGGTTACGGGCTTTCAGAGTGATCGGACGCACCATTCCTGCTGCCACCAAGATGTCGCCCGCTGGAAGGATCTGAGGACAGCCCTGGACAAAAGATTAGAAAATGTTAGAACTACAAACTTTATTTCCTGACATTTTATGAATGGCTTTGTCACATATTGTCTTCATATTTTGTATACTATTTAAAAGGTTCTATATTACACAAAATGACTTGTGAGTTTTGTTAGAACTCGTCAAACCTTGAATTGTGTTTTGTTTCATTCACACATTTTTGAGTACCGTATTTTTCGGAGTACAAGTCGCACTTTTTTCATGATTTGGGGGGGTCCTGTGACTTATACTCAGGTGTGACATATATATTTAAATATATAATTTCACATTTTATCACATGGCAATAAACTGTTAATCATATTCTGCAGATTACAGGCTGCAAGTAGTGAAATATGCATCTGAAAATGGTAATCAAGCAGCAGAAAGAAAGATAAACTTGAGAGGGACTTGCGGAAAGCGGAGGATACTCTAAATGCAATGAAAAAAACAAAAAAGCTAATCGCGGGCTCAAAACTAGATTTAGCTAGAGCTGATGGAGTTGCTCAGAAGTGACACCGAGGATGAAGAATTCAATGGATTTAGTGATTTGGAGTGAGATGGAGAGTTTGGTAAACTTGTTCTGTTTTGTTGTTTATACTATAGTTATCTGAATAATAGGGATGTAACAATAACCGAAATATCGTGATATCGTATCGTCAAAAGTCTCACAATAATATCTTGGGCTGTCACAACATATCGAATTACAAGTTCCTTTGCTTAAATGCATGGTTTTATAGTTCCAATAGCTAATAAACATCAGAAACTACATATCCCATGATTCATTTCAGTGAAGACAACATGAAAAAATATGTTTTTACTTGAACTCTTGGGATTATGATGGAAATAATTTGTACCGTGAGATCTGGATATCGTAACATGCCAGACACATATTTAGCCTGTTTTTTTCTTCTTCATTATGCATTTTTTTTGGGCTGGTGCCACTTCTACTCCGGAAACACGATAACTTTTATTATTAGTCTGTCTACATCTCCAAAGCTCAAAATGCTCTGTTCTACCTTGAGACGTCATGAAGCTGTTGTTTTCAAGTTAACAACTACATTTTACTTTTTATTTGGTAGATACTGGACATCGGGAAAATGGCTGAAATCATCCAAAAGATTCTAATGAATGTGTATAGCGTTTAAAAACACAGTGGAGCACTTCCTGTATTACTATGACATCACAAGGTGGAACAAAGTGCTTTTAGTTTGAGAAATGTACATGGTCTAAATTTGCAGTTTTCGTGTTAAACGTGTGTGACTGAAACAAAACACAACTCCAGGGCTGTTTGTGATGAGGAAAAATTATAACATAGACCAGAAAATAGCACAAAATGGGCCCTTTAATGCATTATTTTTGTCACATGAATTTCCATAAACTGAAAAAGCTGTACTATAATTTATTGTAAAGTGAAACTAGATTTCATTTTGATTGGGTCTCTGGCCCTGGTCCTTCTGAGCGTTTGAGTTTTGTTTTGTTTTTTTTCCAGTATAAACTGTTTTTTATAGAAACACACGAAGGTCACTCATCTCACATTTCATTGAACTGCTGTTTACTACAGTCAGTGAAGGCCACATAACGCGTTCAGGGACTCTCTGAAAATCTCCTCAATGAATCACTCTCCGGCACGATTTCATAAAATGATTCGATTAATTTAGGATTTGCATGGCTCCTACAGGAAGAGCAGATACTAGACTAATAAATCAGTTCATGTTTCACTTTATCTGACCGTTATAGGGACGGTCAGGAATTTTGGACATAGGACCTCATTTCCTAGTGAGTCAGAGTGTTGGAGACGTGTGGAGACACTTTTTAAATATTCCATCCAGTCCTTGTATTTGCAGAGGTCACTGGTGCTAGACTAGTGCATGTCAATGGTCATAGTTATCCTGCCACTAAAAACAGTCTTACTCACTCCACAAAACACCCGAAGTAAATCTATTATTACACCAGACTGTCAATGTAAATGTCCGTGTCGATAGAATAATTTTAGAAGTAAAACCAACTTTGTATTTGAAGGATTTATGTCTGAGCAGCAGGAGTGAGTTGTACTTCCCGACAGAAAGTTTGGCAGCGGCGGACTGATATATGAGAAAATAGTCCCTCAACATGCGACGATTCATGCGGTGCAAGGTTACTTTTATTTCAAACATTATTCTATCAACACAGACATTTACATCGACAGTCTGGTGTAATAACAGATTTGCTTCGGGTTTTTTGTGGAGTGGGTAAGACTGTTTTTAGTGGCAGGATAACTATGACCATTGACATGCACTAGTCTAGCACCAGCGACCTCTGCAAATACAAGGACTGGATGGAATATTTTAAAAAGTGTCTCCACACGTCTCCAACACTCTGGCTCACTAGGAAAAGAGGCCCTATGTCCAAAATTCCGAACTGTCTCTTTAAAGGCACATATTAAACAATTTTCCAATCTATGTTATAATGTTTCCTCATCACAAACAGACCTGGAGTTTTGTTTTGTTTCATTCACATGTTTAACACACAAATCCTGCATATATAAGCTTCTCTCAAACAGAAAACACTCTGTTACACCTTGTGATGTCATGTGGTAACAAAGAAGTGCTCCATTGTGTTTTTAAACTCCATACACCTTCAATCGAATCATCTGGATAATTTCAGCTCTGGAACTGACAATCCCTACTGAAGTAAAGGTAAGAGAGGCTGTTAACTTGAAAATCTACCCCTTCATGACATCACAAAGTGGAACAGTGCATTTTGAGCTTTCGAGATGTAGACAGAATAATAATAAAGTGTCACTCAAACATGCACGAATGAAACAAAACACAACTCCAGGTATGTTTTCGAGGAGGTAACAACATTATAAAGCTCACAAGAGTCAATTTTGTGTAATACAGGACTTGTAATTGATTTTATGGGGAAGAAAATATTAAATAGCATCAATAACTAATAACTATTAACATAATTTTTATTTTTGGCCACAGTACTGCTTTCAGAACAGGCTCAAGTATCTGCTCTGTGATTAGCTGGAAATCCTGCCTTTTGATTGGCTGTGAGTCAATCTCTGGTTGGATCCTACAGTATCCCTCTATTTTGTGATTGGCTGTAGCTGAAATAGGGCCTAAATAGAGTGTTAATTGGTGAAGAGGCTGATCACAGTCATTACAGATAATTACTCTAATTAAAAGGAATACAAGAGCGAGAAAGTGATGCTTAGAATCATTATAATGAGTCAGGCCCAAGTCTCATTTGAACTCATTTATCAAAACAGCACTTGAACTGAGCCAGAGCCCTCCCCTCTGACTCTGAACCAAATCACTGTTTTTACAAGAATACATTTACTTAACCTAAAGTACTGTAGCACCAGAGTGAGGTCTTTTAGGCTCTTAGGACATGGCATGAACATTCACAGTGCTTAACGGTGCACTGTGAATGTTCCATGGCATGACATTAAACATTAGCCTGGTTCATCAGCCAGTTTCAATTTGTGGAAACCGTCTGATCTCGCAGCATTAAATTCCGTTCGCTAGACAGTAGACGGGTACTTTTTTATTTAACCAATTGCTGCTATTTAGTTGTGACGTATGTAGTGCGCCAAATCCCGTAGGAAGAAGGGCAATAATGTCTTTCCCCTTGATAAAATTCACCAAACATTCTCTTTGTTCCAGCTTTAAATCATCATTGCCAACACAGAATGTCTGTCTTCGTCTACATCCATCTCAACCGTTTTGTTTACTGTTGTGCTGTACCACAAAAGGGACCCAGACAGGCACTTGAGTTTGACGTCATGGCTTCACAGCTCTTTCGCTGATTGGCTGCTGCACGGTCTACAACTTCCAGGGTTCTTGCAAACCATCTAGTGTATTCTGATTCCTGATCTAGTCGCTGGAGAGAAATTAAATTGCGCGGAGGCACTAGGCAGCACCAGCCTGGCTAATTAAACAGCCATTTAGCATTTATTCATTACGGATGTTTGTATTGCTCAAAAATACAGCAATTCCATCTGTGAATGGGGTGACTCTTCAGAGATCTGACTTGTAATGTAGCGTAGTACTGTAACCTGCTTGTCTGCCTTGTAACAGATAAGTTTTATATTGTGAAGCATTCAAGACAAAGCATTAACATTTACATGGAGAAAAGAAGGGGGAAGATCCGTGCCTGTGACAACCATGGATCATTATGTAATAGTTTAAGCATTTTAAATTGCAATATTCATCTAAAAAAACTCCATAAAAGACAGAAGTCTGCTCAGTTCCGTGTTAGAAAACCGTGGAACCCAATGGGAGCTGACATCGCTGTAAACGTCAGGACAACAAAAGAGCCATGTAGCTGTCGGCCCCTCCTATGGATAGCTGCACATCATACTAAAAAACAGCTGATTTTTTTTTGGGGGGGGGGGGTTTGTATCTAAATGACTTTGCAACACTACCAAATCCTCCACTTATCACTGATTAAGAAAATAAAATTGAAGAAAGCTGTTAGTGGGTGGTGAAAACAGGGACTGATCGGTAATATGGCGCTTTGAAAATAAGTCTTTCAAGAATAAAAATGACTCAAACATGCACAAATCACTCCAAAAAAAACAAACAACTTTAATAGAGTAAATGAGAAGGCGAAACAACTATAACACGTTAAAAGCTTTGAAATCATGATTTTGCATGGTAGGTCTGCTCTAACGGTGCACTGTGTAACCTGCTTGTCTCCATGGAGATGTTACGGCTTTGCCTTGATTATTTCACAGTATGAAAATAAACATGGATATCACAATGGAGACACGTTAATGGTCAGATCTACAGAGAACATGGTAAGAATTCATGTTTTTCCAAGGTATTTTTGAGCTATAAAACACCTATAACTGAACAAATGCAAGGCAGGTTATTCTGTTTAATGCCCTACTGTGGAATATTCAAGTAGCAGACCCTCCAACACAGATATTAAGGTAGAATAACAGTTTCTTTACCTCCATACTGCTGACCCGCCCCTCCTGGAACGAACAGTCCTGCAGGTTATTGGTGCAGATGTGCCGATATTTACACCAGTGACACGGGAACTCACTGCTCACACACGAAGTACATCTGTAAAAACACACAAAAAAAACACAAAAACAGAGCACTAAGACTTTATTTTAAACATACAATCTACTAAAGCCTTAAACGTACCCTTTCAGACACGTACAGGTTATTTTAGCAGGTACTTTTAGCACAGCTTTACTTTTACAAAAACACAAATTTTGCCAGCAGAGGGCACAAGAACTCTATTTGTGCACTGAAAATTAAAGTGTTAGTGTAGAGGCTAAAACAGCTGTTGGTTTGCTGCGTAGAGAAGGGAATTTGAGAGCTGAAATGACGAGCCTGGTGAAATTTTACGGGCTTTAAAAACACAGACGAGCACTTTCTGGATTTTTACAGAATGACGTCAAGTGACAGAATTAAGAGTTTTAAGATCCTGAGAGAAACACAGATGTACAAATGTAATGTAATAGGACCTTTAAGTATTTGTAGTAGCAGTATTGGATGAAAGGAGTACTTACGAGTTGAGTACGGAGCAGTTGTAGTAGATGAAGTCTGTGGAGATAAACTTGAGTCCAGTTTCTGTGGATCTCAGGCTGAGCTTCACCACTCGCTTCTCTCCTGAAAGCACCAGAGATAAAGGTATTAGAATATTTATACACACAGTACACAATATATAAACATACTTGGCTCCTAAACACAACAGCAAGAGAGAGAATATGTCAGATTATTGGAAATTTAGAAAAAACTGAAGTGAGCAGCTTCAATTGACTTTGTATTTAGAAAACATCGCCCGTCTCTCTGTAAATTCTGCAGAGAGTCTCGTCATTTTGGTCTTGAAATGTTCGTATCTACATGATCCTGGTGTTTTTATTTAGCTAAACTTTGTAAATAAATTTCAATATTCGCTCCTATAACCGCCAGCCTCATGAGCTTCATTTGACTGGAACCGAACACTATAGTTTCTTCTTTTTTTTTTTCTTTAGACAGTCTACGTGTCAGAATAAAGCAGGAGTCTATATTCTAGTTTATGAATTATAATACGGCATTTCATGAGAGCAAACACATACATACAAATAAACAAAATAATAATAAGAAAATAAAATATTGGGTAACACTTTATAATAACTACACATTATTTAGCCTTAATAAAGCATGAACAAAGACTTAATTAATAATGATTCAGGCTTAGTAAATGCTTAATAAAGGATAAATTAGTCTTCACTTTAGAAAAGCTCTCAAAAAGACTTAACTAACAGATAACAGCTGCCTGAATTATCATTGCATTGCATTATTAGTAAATCATTCTCTCATAGCTTAATAATGATTAATAAATGCTCAAATGGTTAGTCCATGAGTAATTAAGTATGAAATAATTATGAGTAACTATTTACAGCACAGGCAAATTAAGTGCAAGTGCTAATTAAGGTAGTAATTAAGTAGTTACTAAGCATGAATCATTATTAATTAAGTCTTTGTTCATGCTTTATTAAGGCTAAATAAGGTGTAGTTATTATAAAGTGTTACCAAATATTGAAAGTGGTCATGTGTATTAGTAACAAGTTTCATTATCCTATATTCATCCAACTACAGCAACTACTGTGTCTTTTCATTTAGTTTTTATTTATTTTACGTATTTATTGCCATTTTATGATTTTAGGGTCTTGCTTTTATTTGATTTTAAACCGGTTTTATTGTTTAAGGTGCTGTACAAGTTTTCAGCTTGTCCAAGAAAGGATGTAGGTAAAAGGCTGGAGACCAACTGGATGTCTTAAGCAGGAGAAGTTTATTTACAGTCAATAACACGGGCTCAGGGGGACATAGTATGATTTCAAAAGTGAACACAGTATGATCTTTGAGTGTTCAAGCCCTGTGACTCTGCTTCTAAAGGAGAAGGTTTATAAAGCAAGTGTGGTGAGAATATGAAGGCCAGTAGGCACCAATTAGACAGCAATATGCCACAATTTAGATAGTGGTATGCCAATGGTATGCCAAGAGAAGATCATGGTGTAAATATAGCTTTTGTGAGTCAGTGTTAAACTGAGCGATGTATACATGGAGGATAAATTACTTAAATTATCTTACATTAGAACTGGTATGATCAAATGTGGGTTTTTTATGATCTCTATTCAGCATTTTGGAAAAGCTTTTGTTTGTAAAATGTGATAAATAATAAATAAAACAAAGTGGATTTGGATTTGAACACGCAGATTTAAGAGTAACCCGCCTCCTCTCATTACACTGTATGAACACCACTGTCTGAGCATTTGTTTACAGACTCTCTTACCGTACTGCTGGGAGAGGTCCCTGAGAGACGGGGACATGCAGGTGACGAGTCGAGCTGTGACGTCACCGGGGGTTTCAGTGATGTCGTCGAACACGCAGGACACGCCCCCCGAGAGGGCAGGGACGTTCTGCACACGGATCGTCAACTGAAAATGCAGGAAAAACATTAATTACAGAAGAAACAAAGAGCTCGTGCTGAGAAAATGAATGAGGTAACTGAGCGTGTTGTGAGTATGAAGCTGAATTATTCTTGACTAAACCAGGATTAAACCAACTGTAATTAATAAGTATACGAGGACCAGATTAGAATGATGCACTCTTGAGCAGAGTATTTAGAATATTGCATACGGATGGAGATTTACTGTGCTATTCTGAATATTGGTGCTACTGAGGTATTTTTTTCCACATAGAGGTATTGAAAAAAACTCCCTGATGACATGAAAACCAAAACTAGTTCATTGTTTTGCAGTGGTCCAAAGTTATTCCTCATTTACCTTATGCATTCTAATAATAAATTTATGACTGAAACTAGCATGTAAACACGCACTTACTGATTATTGGAGAAAAAAAGCTTCATAATTAGGTGCAAATAGCACACAGCAGACTAATTTTGACCTCCAGAGCTGCTTATACAATATATCTGTACTGAAGTAAGGCAGATATTGTCCAAATACATGGATAATGGCATTTAAAACAGTGACAGCAAAGAACGAGATTCCGGTTTCTTAATTTTGCATTTGGAAATATGTCATGACAACTTCCGATGTAGTTACCAACACTGGGCTCGCCGACCGAATGTGATAAAACCCATGGTAGTAAATATCATCAGTGGGAAAATGAAGATGGCATTCGTATGCGCTGTTTGGAATCATCTTGAAATTGGCGCCCTCATGTCTTCGCCAAATCTCTGCGCCCTCAATCGACTATGACAACATTTTTTGAGAACAGGTTCCAAAGTGGAGAAATCTGAGAACGCCGGCATTGCGTTGTCGTTGGACAAGCAAACCGGAGCTTTTAGAAAATGATGATGTCGCAGCCCTCGAACTAGCCTCCGCGTTGCCGAAATGGGACAGGTTTAGCCTACGGAGCCGATCCCGTTGCCCAGCAACCGAGACACACTGCTAACGCTAATGCTAACAACACGCACTGCAGATGACGCACACGGATCAATAACAAAGATTACGCACAAGTAATCAAACTGTTGGATTTTGAGACCAAGTTATTCTAATAATTCTCATCCAAATCTTATGGCCAAAAAATGAAAACTTGTGAAATGAAATGTTAAACTTTTGCAAAACAAAACAGCTATATTTCTGAGATACATCTAAAATCAGCTAAATTACCTTAAATAATTTTAAAAAAACAAAACTGATGAGATATACATTATTAAATATTATCATTGTTAACAGCACCACATATAGGTGTAGCATATGTATTACATCGTTTTCACTCACTGCTCCGTTGTCGTCTGGACATGAATATTTATTGATCCGACATGTGTGTGGACATGAATTTTCCTCAACCCGTGAAAAAAAAATAAATAAATTCATGAGCGTTGTCATGTAGACGTAGCCGGAGTTGTGTGTCAGTGGGGAAATGATGAAAACTAAGGTTGGCTGTAATTGTTGATTAGCCGAACATAAGGGAACGCTACAATGACATGTAGATGAAGAAAACTGGGACATTTTCCAATTTTTCCTAGATTTGTCAGACTTACTACCGCCGGAAGTTGTAATCACATGTTTCCAAATGTCTTCCTGGCTTGTGATGTAAGCATGAATAGAGCCTATTATGTTCTGTTCTTATCCACACTACCACATTAATGGTGTGGACAGGTGAGCAGTTACCTGAGTGGGCGGAGATGTGACGGACATGTTGCTGGGAGACACAGACATGTCCACACACTGGTCCAGTCGGGTGTTAAAATGCTGAGGCTCCTCAAACTTGTCACATGACTCTCGCCTTGAACACCTGCGGAGAAAATTCAACACAAATCACAAGAGATTAAAAACTGTCTCCACCAATCAGACGCCTCCATCCTGTTGTTACCGGGCGGACTGTTAAAAGCCTGAAACCCCCTGAGGCTTATATTTAGAAGGTGAAAGGATAATGGCGCCTCAAGGGACATTTTTCTGAAACTGTCTCTTTGAATTAACCCCTTTGAATCTAACAAGGTTTTCCTTTTTGTGAATGTTGTTTTTAAGCTTCCACTTTCCATTTCTAATCTTATTTAAAAGGTGCACTGTGTAAGTTTTCTGGAGGGGGTCCACAACCTGTTAATGCTTTGTTTAAGTATGGTATTAAACTAACCTGCATTTATTCAAATACAAGTGTTTTAAGTGCTCAAAAATATATATATATAAAACAAACATTCATTCTTAATGTGTGTGAGGTCGCCTCTCCACAAATCTAACTTGTAATTTGGCTGGCAGATTATATATTCATGGAGACAAGCCTCCATCAGACAAGTTACATAATGCACCTTTAATTTTCAAACATTGTAAAATCAGCTTTAAATGTAATGTGTAATATTGAAATAAAAAGAGAAAACTAAAATGTGTATATTTTTAAGTTCATAAGTCAAAATTCGGTAACACCTAGGGCACACTTATTAACATCTAACTACCTGCTAATCAGCATTGTTGTATTACAAACACTTTCCTATTTATACACTCTTTATCACTGCGTATTAGTGTAATATTAAGCCATTTTTGTTCATGAATTATGATTCTAATCAGCTTTTGGTAATAAGCATGTTGTTCAGGACGAGTAGAATTAAGTCATTAAGCTCATAAATATGTTTCCCATTCTAAAGTGATGTTAGTTAATAAATAGAGGCGTAACGATATCCAAGACTCACGATACGATATCGTCACGGTATGAACCTCATGGTATGATATTTATTGCGATATCATGTGAAAGCTCATGATTAGGGATGTAACAATATCCAAATCTCTCGATGTGATATTTTCACGATTTACATCTCACGGTACGATATTTATTGCGATATTTTGTGGAGGCTGCGAACAAAACTGTTAATATGCAACTTTTTCCTCTTAAAATGCCTTGACAAGACTTAATTCAAAGAACTAAGATTTAAAAGTGCTTAGAACTGTTATTTCTTCATGTAGTCTGCACTGAAACGGAGCAAAGGATCATGGTCTATGTAGTTCCCTCTTTTTTTTTTTTTTAGCTATTGCTGCACCATAACTCTTAATTTAAGCAAAGACACTTGTAATTCGGTATATTGTGATGGTCCATGATATTATTATGAGAACTTTGACGATACGATATCACGATATTTCAGTTATTGTTAAATCCTTATTAATAATGGACTAGTTTGACACAAATTAAAATGAAATATGGTCCCTTTTCTAAAGTGGTCTCTTCTTCACACTTAATTCATGTATTGTGACATGCAGATTAATAGTTCAAATATGAATATACAAGCTTAATGACTTAATTCATGGCTAGTTGAACTCTTTTAACACCTAATAGAGTGTTTTATTACATAAGAGTAAACTAAATTTGTTAAGTACAAATATGTAAATACTACATTTCTTGTGCTACTAGTCCTTAATAACACGCTTATTAGAATCATAATTCATGGACAAAAAAGGCTTAATATCACACTAATAAAGCAGTAATAAGGAGTGTATTAATAGGAAAGTGTTTGTAAATGTCTAAGTAATAGCAGAATAAGCTTATGGGGAATTAGACATTAATAAGAGGTGAATAAATGCTAAGTAATGACAAATTAACCATCTACAACTATGCTAAAACCCTAAAATAAAATGTTACCCAAAATTCTTCATGTCAGGTGAAAAGTGTAAATCCTGATCCTGAGTTTGTCGGAACTAAATCTGACGTTAAACACCGGCATGTGACCTGAGGCTGTTGACGGGGGGAGGGGTCAGAGGTCACAGATGTTATCAGCTGACATACAAATACAAATACAAAAGGTACTGACTTGTTGAAGAGGACACACCAGCCGCAGTGTGGGTCTCCGGAGCCCAGACACTCGGAGCAGTTATCGTACTGGTCACATGACTCCACAGGTAAACGATTCACCTGGAAAACGAAAGAGGGAATGAAGTAATTTTACACACTGGTTCAAATTATTAAATCTTTAAAAAGTGCTGCTGTATCAGATTTTTTACAGTCTTAAAACATGAAAAACAAAACTAGTTCACTGTAACCGTTTTGCAGTGATCCAAAGTTATTCCTCATTTACCTTATGCATTCTGATGTTAAGTTTATGACTGCAACTAGCATGTAAACACGCACTTACTGATTAGTGGAGGAAAAAATGCTTTATAATTAGTTGCAGAAAGCACACAGCAGACTTATTTTAACCTCCAGAGCTGTTTATATTTGGGTAAGGCAGATCTTGTCCAAATACATGAAAAAAGGGCATTTAAAACACAAAACTCCTGTTTCTTAGTATTCAGTTTAGTCCTGGTTTAATCCTGGTTTAGTGCTGGATTAGACCTGGTTCAGAATTGATTTAGCCCCGGTTTATCCCTAGTTTATTCTTGCTTGACCGGGACTGAGATCGGGACTGACTGAGATCGGGACTGAGACCGGACTGAGACGGGACGGAGACCGGGACGGAGACCGGACGGAGACGGGACGGAGACGGAGACCGGGACGGAGACCGGGACGGAGACCGGGACTGAGACCAGGACTGAGACCGGGACTGAGACCGGGACTGAGACCAGTTTAGTCCTGGTTCAGTCTTGGGATCAGTCTTGGGATCAGTCCTGGGATCAGACCTGGGATCAGACCTGGGATCAGACCTGGGATCAGACCTGGGATCAGACCTGGGATCAGACCTGGTTTAGTCCTTGTTCAACCCTGGTTTAGACCTGGTTTAGACCTGGTTTAGACCTGGTTTAGACCTGGTTCAGACCTGGTTCAGACCTGGTTCAGTCCTGGTTCAGACCTGGTTCAGATCTGATTTAGTCCCATTTTAGTCCCATTTTAGTCCCATTTTAGTCCCATTTTAGTCCTGATTCAGTCCTGGGAATTTAAATTATAAACTGCCCAAATTTGAGGGGCAGGAGTTGCTCTATGTTTTTATGATTTGTTTTTATGTTGATTATTGTATTTTGTTAAATCTTATATTCTGTTGTCTTTAATAAATAATAATAAAACCAAAACAAAACATTATAACATAAACCTTTAAGGACAAGCATCTTTTACATGTGCTTTGATGATCCAGACTGTTGACATTCAGTAAATTTGACTTGTATTTATGAAAGTACTTTGTGTCCATTTCATTTTGGCCACAGAATCTCTCATAATGTAATATATTTAATTTTATAACTTGTCCAAACTCATTTCTGTCACTCCTCGTGTCCTTGTTTGTTTTCCTCATTAATTTAATTTCACTGCGGTTTGTGGTTTGACCCCAAGTCAGAAGCTATACACTCAATCTCCCAGAATGCCCTGCAGCAGACCGGACAGCTGATGACGCGTCCCAGAGTGCTTTGAGGCAGACTGAGCACAGAGTTTCCCACAGTGCTTTGGGGCAGACGGTTATGAATGAAGGCTCTGTTTGAGACACTGACCCTGTGGGATTGTATTGATGGACGTTAACGCTTCAGAACAGGCACAAAATGAGAAGAGCGAGATAGAAATATTAAAATTATGAGTGTACTCTGGTCTAAAACTAATTTCGCACATACGTAACAAATAACAAAAAAAGAGCACTCTGGATAAAAATGGAGGTGCAGGAAGAGGCAAAAAAAAATTTAAAATATGGATTAAAATACAAAGAAACATTAAGTATTTCAGCACTTATCAAACATTTCCTTAAAGGTGCATTGTGTAACTTTTCTGGTGGAGGGTCGGTCAAATGAATTTTTCCATGGAGATGTTGTTGCTTTGTCTGGAATGTTTCACAGTATGGCATTAAGGCTTTCTAAATCATCATGGAGATCAAACCAGATCAAGTTACAGGTCAGATCTGTGGAGAGGCGATGCTGCTTACAGTCAGAATGCTGGGACCAGACCTGGATTGAGACCACTTTAGTCCTGGCCCAGTCTGGTTTAGAGCTGGTTTAGAGCTGGTTCAGTCCTGGTTCAGTCCTGCTTCAGTCCTGGTCCAGTTTTGGTTTAGATCTGTTCCAGTTCCAGTTTAAACCTGGTTTAGACCTGGTTTAAATCTGTTTTAGACCTGGTTTAAACCTGTTTTAGTCCAGTTTTAGTCCTGGTTCAGTCCTGGTTAAATCCTGCTTTAGTCCTGACTTAGTCCTTGTGCAATCCTGGTATCAGTCCTGGTCCAGTCGGGTTTAGACCTGGTTTAGACCTGGTTCAGTTCTAGTTCAATCCTGGTTTAGATCTGATTCAGTCCTGGTTTAGATCTGATTCAGTCCTGGTTTAGACCTGGTTCAGTCCTGGGATCAGTTCTAGTTCAGTCCTGTTTCAGTCCTGTTTCAGTCCCGTTTCATTCCTAGGATCATTCCTGGTTCAGTCCTGGTTCAGACCTGCATTAGACCTGCATTAGACCAGTTTTAGTCCAGGTTCAGTCCTGAGATCAGAACAACGACATATCCATAGAAACAAGCAGGTCCCCCACCAGAAAAGTTCCACAGTGCACCTTTAAACTCTTTTTAAATTACGTTTCTGAAATGTCGTCACTGACCAGATGTGAAAATTGCCTCCACACTTTTCTGCATCGTGTCGTTTTATTTCTCAGTCTCCGCTCACCTGTTTGTCGCTGAGCAGGTAGATGAAGCGATGGTCGGGGCTGAACACCATGTCTCTCAGAATGGGCTTCCCCTCCACCACGTTCACAGTCTCGTACAGCAGTGCATTCTGGGAATTTGACACGCCGTCCACACGGATCTGAAAGCACAAGAACAGATTTATGAATCATCCACACAGACATACTCAAACGTAAACAGTTTAATTTCATGTTTACAAGATAAAAACTGTATTAAAAACTATTTCCACACGTAGAATTTTTCATTATTTTAACACAAGCACTACCAAAACTGTCATGGATCGATATTAGTCCAATCGATATCTTATTTTGGTTATGAATATGCGTAATAAGACAATTTACTGGGCAACGTTATGGCCCAAACACTTAAAATTCTTCAAATATTTTTCCAAGTTGTTCTGTAGTCACTTTATAATATATACTGCCTACTTTAAAGGAAATAAATTATAGTTTTATACTTTATTTAGTCTCTGTTCTTAATATCTGCTACCTGCTTGTCGCCATGGAGATGTTTTTGCTTTGTCTGAAATGTTCCACAGTATGGCTTTAAACATATATATATATATATATCTAGCATTTATTCATTATGTGTGTTTCTATTGTTCAAAAATACAATCATTCCTTCTGTGAAATAGCAGTGAAGCGCTGTAACCTGCTCGTCTCTGTCTGTGTATCATTCGTTCATTTATTTTTCAAAATAAAACCAAAAAACAACAATTTTCTTCATTATTTGTCTACAAAACCAAAATGAAAAAAAACTGATAATGATTTGTTTTTTCAGTTTTCGATTTTGTGTTTAAATGAAAAATGGAAAAAACGGATAATGGCCGATTCAAGTTTCCGTGACTTAAACTGCGATGTCAGACTTTTGCACCACATATTGATTGAACCAGGACTGAGCCAGGACTGAGCCAGGACTGAGCCAGGACTGAAACCAGGACTGAAACCAGGACTGAAACCAGGACTGAAACCAGGACTGTCGGACAAACCCAGAGTTGCGCCCGCTTAGACTGTCGGGTGATCAGGACTGAGACCGGGACCAGACCGAGACCAGACAAGGAATGAGACAGGGACTGAGACCGGTATTTAGACTGGGACCAGACCGGGAAAAGATCAGAACTGAGAACGGGACTGAGACCAGGACTGAGACTGGTTTAGTCCCATTTTAGTCCCGTTTTAGTCCCGTTTTAGTCCCGTTTTAGTCCCGGTTTAGTCCTGGTTTAGTCCTGGTTTAGACCTGGTTTAGGCCTGGTTTTTTATCTATTTAAACACAAAATCGAAAACTGAAAAAATTAATCGCTGTCTGTTTTTTTCATTTTGGTTTTGGAGACAAATAATGAAGAAAATAGTTGTTTTTTTGTTTCTTATTTTTTGTTTTATTTTGAAAAACGAATGAACAAATGATACACTTGTGATAGACAGGTTTAATCTTTACTGCGGAACATTCTGGATAACGCCAAAGTATCACCATCAGTATCGGAAGAGAAAAAGCTGGATCAGTGCATCTTTAACCATAAATACAGCAGAGATGTCAAAGCAGTGCTAAACCTCGGCCTGTAAAATGGAAAATGGGCTCGTCTATTAAATAAACTGGAAACTGTCTTTGCTGCAAAACAGGGTTAAGTGTAAGTGAATGAGAGTCTCCACAGAGATACAACCCCCAACCCCACCCCACCCCCTCTCCCTGTGTGTGTGTGTGTGTGTGTGTGTGTGTGCGTGCGTACATGTGTGTCTGTTCTAATTAAAGTCTGGCTGTAACGAGTTTAACAAGCTCAGGGCTAATCACCATTAACTCTGTCTCCATTCCTTTGTTCCTCTGACCTACTTTCACTACATCCTAAAACTAGTACCTTCTAAACTTGGACTAACCCATGACCAAAACTAAAACTAGCGCACTAACAGGTCTTAACTAGAACGCGTGCAAAGATAAAACTCTAAACCAGGTCTGCACGAGGTTTAACAGATCAGCCAGGGGTAATCCAGGACGCATTCAAACTGTTATTAACTAGAACAAAATTAATAGGAGCCACGCAAAGTCTAAAGCCAGAAATAAATAATTAAAGGTGAGTCTCGTGAGCTTTAATCCGCGTTAGGATCCTGTTACCTCATCAAAAGCATACCTGGAGTTGTGTTTTGTTTCATTCACACATGCTTGAGTAATCCCGTATTATCAGGATGCTTTGTTCCAGCTTGTGATGTCATGAAGAGGTAGTTTTCAAGTTAACAGAGACCTTTTATCTTTAGTTCAGTAGAGACGGGCAATTCCAGGTTTGAAATCATCCAAATGATTTATGTCATTGGGTTCTTTTTTCAGACCAAGAGTTTGTTTTTATAATTAGCGGTCTTCCTCAGAGTGGTCACGTGATGTTGCTGTGACGTGTCTGTCCCGGTCTGAGTGTCTGGTCCCGGTCTGAGTCCCGGTCTGAGTTCCGGTGTCATTCACGGTCTGGTCCTGGTCTGGTCTGGGTGTCCGTCCGGGCCTCAGTCCACGTTTAAGTCCAGGTTTTGGTCCAGGTTTTAGTCCAGGTTTTAGTCCAGGTTTTAGTCCAGGTTTTAGTCCAGGTTTTAGTCCAGGTTTTAGTCCAGGTTTTAGTCCAAGTTTTAGTCCAAGTTTTAGTCCAAGTTTTAGTCCAAGTTTTAGTCCAAGTTTTAGTCCAAGTTTGACGAGGTTTAGACCTAGTTCAATCCAGGTCTGCGGTCCAGGTCTGCGGTCCAGGTCTGCGGTCCAGGTCTGCGTCCAGGTCTGCGGTCCAGGTCTCGGTCCAGGTCTCGGTCCTGAGTTCAGTTACTGGGTTCAGACCTGGTCTAGTCTTGCTTTGGAAAAACAGGACTATTTCTTTTGCCCCTGTATCTTTACTTTAACTTAAGTAACAAAATTAAGTATTTGCATCCGCAACTGCAAACAACTTCACTAAACCGACAAACTGAAGGACACTTTTCAGGACTGATTCTTCAAATAAACATATTTATATCCAAATAGAACCAAAAATTTTGTATAGAGTTCAAATAAGGAGAAAATCTGCTCACAAAAACAACCATCTTATTAGCGTATGTTCCTTCCTCCTCGTTATAATCTCTTCCTACCTTCCATGTTTTTCCTCATCCCTTTGTAACCTTCCTACCTTCTTTTCTCATCCTTCCTTTCTCATTTTCTGTCTCCGCGTTTTCCTCGTCTCTCCTCGATTTCTCTCCATATTTTCTGGGTCAGTCAGATTCATGAGTTAATCCTGTTAAGATTCTAAAACGCTGTGAAATGGAACCAACCACACCATTATACAGGCGCTACACAAGCACGGGTTTAGTCCGGGTTTAGTCCGGGTTTAGTCCGGGTTTAGTCCGGGTTTAGTCCGGGTTTAGTCCGGGTTTAGTCCGGGTTTAGTCCGGGTTTAGTCCGGGTTTAGTCCCGGTTTAGTCCGGTTTAGTCCCGGTTTAGTCCCGGTTTAGTCCCGGTTTAGTCCCGGTTTAGTCCCGGTTTAGTCCGGATTTTAGTCCGGGTTTTAGTCCGGGTTTTAGTCCAGATTTAGTTCCAGTCTAGTCAAGGTTTAGACCTGGCTCAGTCCTGGTTCATTCCTGGTTTAGTCCAGGTTTAGTCCAGGTTTAGATGATGTTTAGACCTCGTTCAGTCCAGGATTTAGTCCACGTTTGAGTACACGTTTGAGTCCAGATTTAGTTCCAGTTTAGTCGAGGTTTAGACCTGGTTCAGTCCTGGTTTAGTCCGGGTTTAGATGATGTTAAGACCTCGTTCAGTCCAGGTTTTAGTCCAGGTTTTAGTCCAGGTTTTAGTCCAGGTTTAGACCTTGGTCAGTCCAGGTTTAAGTCCAGGTTTAAGTCCAGGTTTAAGTCCAGGTTTAAGTCCAGGTTTAAGTCCAGGTTTAAGTCCAGGTTTAAGTCCAGGTTTAGACCTTGTTCAATCCAGGTTTTAGTCCAGGTTTTAGTTCCAGTTTAGTTGAGGTTTAGACCTGGTTCAGTCCAGGTCTTGGTACAGGTCTTGGTACAGGTCTTGGTACAGGTCTTGGTCCTGGGTTCAGTCCTGGGTTCAGTCCTGGGTTCAGTCCTGGGTTCAGTCCTGGGTTCAGTCCTGGTCTAGCCCTGGTATAGTCTTGTTTTGTAAATTTTCCTGTGATAAATATATATTTGTATCAAATGCCCGACATCCTTAAAAACAGGAAGTCTCGACTTTATGATCGAACAAAATGGAAGGAAAACATTACATAAAATCTTTACCAATTTGGTTTAAAATGTGAAAGAAGTGAACATTTTGAACATCTGTGGGAAAGGAGAGACGGCAGAGGAACGGAGAGAAGAGAGAGGAGAGAGGAAAGTAGGACACTGCAGTGAAAAGTGTGAAATGTTTAATACTGAGAGGTTTGAGAAGGAGGGATAGAGAGAGGATTTGTGAAATATATGTGGAAGGATGTTCTCTGATGCAACATTTACAAATAATAAATACACAAAAATAAAAAAATATAAATATTGCAATACAACATTAATCTTTTAATTGAGCTCAAACCTCCTAAAATCCATGAACCAGCAAAACAAGAACAGCACATCCTCACATTTACTGGAATAATCGAGTTTATAAGTACATTTAAAAAGGCAAATATTACGCAATGTTCTGATCTGCTATAATGTTTTTACTCGTCATAAACAAACCTGGAGGAGTGTTTTGTTTCATTCATGTTTAACACTCAAATCCTGCATATTTAGATTGAATTCTCTTAAACATAAAACACTCCATTCCACCTTGTGATGTCATAGGAGGCTCCACTGTGTTTTTAAACTTCACACATTCACTAGAATAATTCGGGATTGTAATTTTCCATCTCTACTGAACTAAAGGTAAAATGTAGCTGTTAAACTGACATCACAAGGTGCAACAGAGCATTTTGAGCTTTTGAGATTGTGGTGGAAATTTTAGTATTGGGTGTTGTTCTTTACGTTGTCCAAGTAAGAAGCCACATTATTCGTTGTCTAATTTTTTCTCTCACAGAAAGGCTATAAGTACCTTTGGGTTTGTATTTACATGTCTGTGGTTTATGTCACACGTGTTCAGTGTTTGATCATCTTCACTTGTATTCAGATGCAGATGTAAAGGTGTTACATTTCAGAGAGCAAAAAAGCC